AAAAAAAAAAAAAAAAAAAACCTTTTAATAAACACAAAGTAAATTTGATGCTTATTGTCTTCGGGAATTTAATTAAAATAGCTTCAAAATATATATTGAAATTTACATTTACGAAATTCTACACTCGATAGAACAGTTCTATCGATATTAAAGACAGCGATACTATTGAAAATATGGCAGAGATAGGTGTGGAGGAGAATTTAAAAAATCAGAAAATTTAATTAAATTTTTAACTCCAATTTTTTTCCTAGCTATTGCTATTAACCTCGGGGGGTTACGCTAGTATCACCGGACGTGTAGGTGAGCTCACGGGCTCAACCTGCGAGAATTTGCTAACACTAGCTCTAGCAGGAGTAGCGCTTCGCTGAATCTGCCACCAGATCGGAATTGCTTAAACTCCGAGCCGCCCTGGCTTTATATCGTGTTATCTGGAGTAATCTTGCCTTTTTATTTTAAAAGAATTTCGCGCCACTTTTTTCGCCGCATTCCGCCTTAATGAATAAAATAACAGTTTTCTCAATATAGCCTCGATTGCAACGAAGTAGTGGTAATAATCTCCTAATATGAGAATAAATATTCACGTTAGTTCATTTTCGGCACTTAAAAAGAAACTCAATTAAAAGTATCAAGATTACTAAGTTACATATGTAAATGATGCTGCAGTAGCACTGCTATTCAATTTGGATAATCGAGAAACAATCAATCATTCGATAATCGATATATTCATACCGCCGACGAAGACTAATCGATACTGCGCTGAAAGCCCTATTCGAATGAATAATGTTATCAATGTATTTAATAAGCTCATTCTTACCTGCGTTCCTAATTTTGAATAATTAAAGACGTTACAGAATTTACTTCTCTAAGCACGAACGACGAAAATTATCCACCGACCGACTTGATATATAGGCTTTGATTTCTAGCTTGCTGAGAATTGATGGATAGGGTTTTTTATAGATGATAAAAACACGAAGATCCTGATTAGGTGTCATTTAACAGAGACTTGGTATAAATCGGTCTTTTATACGTGCTAATAGAACACGCACACAAACGACTAAAAATGACTACAGTAAAAACTAAAATATGTGCCTCCTCTCGCACCGGAGACAAAATCAAAAGCAAGCATTGCTGATAGCGACCAGCCAGTAAGCGAATGGTGATTAATGATGATGGCATAGCAGCCTCAGATACCTTTCGTGCGAGGTTCAATGCCACTAGTTTTACTGTTAGAAATCTTAGGGAAAAACTTTTGTAGTTGAATATCTACGATTTATCTTGGTAATATTGTTGTGTAGTGAACTCGCCAACTTTGCGAATCCAGTTCTATATTGCATGAAACTGAGTTCTATTCGTTCTATTCTGTAGGCGAGTTACAGTTTTTCTTGGATCTAAAGATGCCAGGAAGAGAGTCCTTGGCGGTTGCCAGCTACTTGGTTCTGCCAATATTTATGATTACACATCATGAAGGGCAATGGAACAGGATAAGCACATCAGGTACTAGGACTCACAGCCTCTCCTAAATTAAAAAATATCTTTGTCCAGCATGAACTAGAAACTTTACAAGGACAAATTCTTGAACTTCTCAGTAAGTAGGTTGAGCTGTGCTGTGATCGCTGTGAATGCTGCAGATTGGATTAGTTGCGGGGCATTTTGAAGCGAAGACACTTATTTGATGTGCCTTCGAAGCTTTTTTTTTATTGCTTAGATGGGTGGACGAGCTCACAGCCCACCTGGTGTTAAGTGGTTATTGGAGCCCATAGACATCTGCAACGTAAATGCGCCACTCACCTTGAGATATAATTTCTAAGGTCTCTAACTATAGTTACACCGGCTGCCCCACCCTTCAAACCGAAACGCATTACTGCTTCACGGCAGAAATAGGCAGGCTGGTGGTACCTACCCGCGCGGACTCACCAGAGGTCCTACCACCAGTAAGAGTCACATTGAACGGTTCACGTTTTTTTATTAACAAAACCTACATGTATATAATTCTGCTAATCCAATTATCGTTCTTGACTTGAATGACCTCAATAAAACATAAGATATTAAATACACAACTGTATACAGGCTCGAATATCGGCAACAATTCAATCAGATTAGAAGAACGTGCCCGTGCCGCGGCCGATCCAACCGATTGGCGGAATATATTCCAACACAAATAAAATCAAAGTCTGTTTGTCGGTTTTTTTCTTTTTAAAAAAAATATCGTTTTTTTTTATTGCTTAGATCGGTGGACGAGCTCACAGCCCACCTGGTGTTAAGTGGTTACTGGAGCCCATAGACATCTACAACGTAAATGCGCCACCCACCTTGAGATATAAGTTCTAAGGTCTCTCAGTATGATTACAACGGCTACCCCACCCTTTAAACCCAAACGCATTACTGGCTTACGGTAGAAATAGGCATGGTGGTAGTACCTACCCGTGCGGACTCACAAGAGGTCCTACCACTAGTAAAATTTGTATTTTGTATAATCGCAAATCTAGGGCGGACATTGCGAGGTGGAACCTTTAAACCTATGTTGGCTTCAAATGATGAGCTTTTAATGATGTGTCCTCATGTGACCGATAGTATATCCAATTTTAATTGCCTTTTTTTTAATACACTCGCTACATTTGAGGTAATATATTAACATAATTGTACGCTATTGAAACATGAAATGTAAATAAAGTACATTAAAATGACAATCAAGTTTCATTTTAAAAATATAAATACGAAATTAATTCAAACAAAACATTCTGAATACATCGCAAAGCAAAGCAAGCAGTGCGCGGACTCATTTAATTAACATCATAAAATTCTTCACCTAAATTATTCGTTCGCAAAAACATCTGCTAAAATTCGCTAATAACGGATATTAAAATGTCCAATGGGACTTTGAAAGGTCGCGACGGCCACTGTTTTCGCAATTCCGGTGTTTTGATGTCATTAAACTTCTCTAAACGTTTATAATATAATTGTAAGTTTTTAATCAATTCCTAAATCGACGTGGCTTTTCAAATTGCGATTAGACTTTGGAAGGGTTCTATTTTTTATGAATAGCTGACTGCCCCCCCCCCCCCCTCCGTCTTCACTTATTGACCACTATTCAAGTAACCGATTGTAGAATAGAAAGAACACTTTAGACATTTATCACCACTGTCCGAGAGAAGCAATGGAATGCAAATTTTGAGCACGTGCCCCAAAGTGTTTGGCGGTATTCATGAAAATTCATTCATTACTGGTGGTAGGACTTCTCCTGAGCCCACACGGGTAGGTACCACCACCCTGCCTATTTCTGCCGTGAAGCAGTAATGCGTTTCGGTTTGAAGGGTGGGGCAGCCATTGTAATACTTGAGACCTTAGAACTTATATCTCAAGGTGGGTGGCGCATTTACGTTGTAGATGTCTATGGGCTCTAGTAACCTCTTAACATCAGGTGGGCTGTGAGCTCGTTCACCCATCTAAGCAATAAAAGCAAAAAAAAAAAACAGTTACTCAAAATTTTTGTCCTCATCTTTCTAATTTAATTTTCTTGCACAGGCCTCTGGTATGCCAGAACGGTGCGACGTGTACCAACTCAGTGGGCGGATTCTCCTGCATTTGCGTCAATGGCTGGACCGGCCCCGAGTGTTCGGTCAATATAGATGATTGCGCCGGCGCTGCTTGCTTCAATGGAGCTACGTGTATCGACAGAGTGGGCGCATTCTACTGCAAATGTACTCCGGGGAAGACGGGTAAGTTTCAAATACTGAATTACGACCAAGCTGTAACTGTTGTTGTACGGGCAGTGAATAGTTGGTGAACAGGAGATACTTTATGCAATGATGCTTCATAAATGGAATCAGCAATACCATTGATTCTTCCGGTCATGGTCCTCGTCGAACCCGTCGCGGCGAGTAAATTAACCCACAGACACAGCCCACTGAGTTTCTCGCCGGATCTTCTCAGTGGGTCGCGTTTCCGATCCGGTGGTAGATTCTCCAAGGCACGGCTAGTGCTAGGGTTTGTGTTAGCAACAACATCAGATTTGAGCCCCGTGAGCTCACCTACTAGCCCGGTGACGCTCATATGGTCTCTCTAGACCATCAGCTTAGGTAGAAAAATTTTTTTTTCGTGAATCAAGTATAATTAGTTTCGGTAGTAATTTGTTTTATAACCACAGACAAGAGATCTAAACGTCAATTATCTCATAGTTAAACAACTGTCTTAACCTTGAACGACAAATTTGACCAAAAAACTCTTGGAAATGGCATGGATGACTTTTTGGTGACAACAATGGGTAGGATGGTTATACTAGGTACAGGGTTAATACGCACAGCACTAACAAAATTCGTATTCGCTTTTTAATAATACTAGAGGTCCCGCAGTAGTCGAAATTCGACTATAATTAATTGGAATTGTAAGTTTGTACACTATTATGATTGTGTTTTATACTTCTATAATCATAAATTTCGCCAAGGCTACTCTATAAAAAAAATATTAACAAAGACAAACAATATTTAATCTATTCTCAATTTGATCACAGACGTCAAGAACAAAAGTTTGACAATAAATAGTATGCATGCGTGTGTGCGTCAAATACATGGTATGTAGTGTGTGTAATGTTTTCTTTATTGATTTAATGTATCTTTTATGCATTATTAAAAAAAAATATTAGCATTGTGCACTTATTCTCTATTTTCTCTATAAGTGTGGAAAATTTCATACTTCTAAGTCTGCCCAATTTTCGTAAAAAGGGATACAAAGTTTATGCTTCACGTATTAATATATAGATAATGTTATTCCTTCATTGTGTTTGGATGCGTGATGAGTTAAATTAAATATACCAGTCCTGTAGCTCGCACAAGTGCGTTCGCTTAAAACAAATACCTACAACGTAACGTTTCACATCAGATAAAGTAAATTGTAAATAAAATGTCATATGTAAAATATAAAATAGAGATCAGATAAAAATTAAATCAGAAAAAAGCAAAACTTTAAATAACTGGAATTGTTTGATAGATTCATCGGAAATTGTAAATTGTTTTGTTCGTGACAAAAATCATTAGTTTAAACAAATGAGAATGCTTTAATCTATTAAATATATATTCACATGTATACCTTCTTACTGGTGGTAGGACCTCTTGTGAGTTCGCGCGGGTAGGTACCACCGCCCCGCCTATTTCTGCCGTGAAGCAGTAATGCGTTTCGGTTCGAAGTGTGGGGGAGCCGTTGTAACTATATATATAATATATAAATATTTTACTAATAATCACGCCACGTTAACTGGTCCCGTGATAAGTTCGTAAAGAACCTGTGTTACAGGTACCAGATATCGGAAATAAATGTAAGGGTTTTATTATACACATACATATATTTTAATATACATCCATAACCCTGGAAAAGACATTTATATTTATCATACAAATATCTTCCCTTAGCGGGATTCGAACCCGCGACCCCCTAGTGTAGGGACCATGTCACTTATCACTACACCAGACTATACTGAGACCTTAGAACTTATGTATCAGGGTGTGTGGCGCATTTACGTTGTAGATGTCTATGGGTTCCAGTAACCACTTAACACCAGGTGGGCTGTGAGCTCGTCCACACATTCAGGCAATAAAAAAAAAGCCTATGTGTATGTTTTTTCTGTTACGAAATTATCATTCGGATGCAGATGTTCTCCTAATCGCGTCACTCATGACTCTCAAAAGTTTCTTCCTGTAAATCTTGATCGGAATCCACTATTATCAAAGCCGGCAATGTGACTTTTGGACAATTATTGGTAAATCAGAAAAACGAATTATTGACTTTGTATTCCATTGGCAGTCACAAAACTCTTCTGAACGACATCTTAGATAAATAACAGGTTAAGTATTAACCTTTATTTAATGCAGGTTTTGAACCGTATTCTTTGAAGGAGACGATTATATTCAAATCAATCTGTATTGACATATCAATAACATTTTTTTGTCCAAATGCACAGATTGCCACCTTTGATAATAGACGACTNATAAATAACAGGTTAAGTATTAACCTTTATTTAATGCAGGTTTTGAACCGTATTCTTTGAAGGAGACGATTATATTCAAATCAATCTGTATTGACATATCAATAACATTTTTTTGTCCAAATGCACAGATTGCCACCTTTGATAATAGACGACTCATTATCGATCCCCTCTAAATTCCCACGTCTATTTGCATTTTATTGGCCTTTTTCAATTTCCTGTACGATAAATTAATTGTTATCATCATTCATTATTCTCGACTTCATTAAGATTGGAATTGTAAAATTTTCGTTATTATTTATATTAATAAATTCAAGATGTTTTATTATGTGTACGTCGATGTTTTATTCATACTTACGAACGGATTTAACTTAGATGGTTTTTATTTTGCTGTTGTAAAATCATTGGAGTCGTTTGTAATCAATTTTATATATTGAAATATCAACTGGTGTTAATTGTCAATGGATTTCAAAATATTTTCGTTGTTCTGATCATTTATTACTTGAACAAAAGTCCCCGCGGTAGTCGAAATTCGACTATAATTAATTGGAATTGTAAGTTAGTACACTGTTATGATTGTATTTTATACTTCTATAATAACAAATTTCGCCAAAGCTACACTATAAAAAATATATTAATAAAGACAAACAATATTTAATCTATTCTCAATTTGACAACAGACGTCAAGAACAAAAGTTTGACAGTAAATAGTATGCATGCGTGTGTGCGTTAAATACATGGTATGTAGTGTGTGTAATGTTTTCTTTATTGTTTTAATGTATCTTTTGTGCATTATTTAAAAAACATTAGCATTGTGCACTTCTTTTCTGTATTCTCTATAAGTGTGGAAAATTTCATACTCCTCCGTCCGCGCAATTTTCGTAAAAAGGTATACAAAGTTTTTGCTTCACGTATTAATATATAGATTCGTAATGTTTTTTAGCCATTCGTAAAAAAGTTATAAATGTTATTAGAATATGAACTGCTTCAAAATTTTCATGTGGCAACATTGAAACAATATATCCCTAATTTCCTGTTAAATATCGCGTTTTATTGTGCTTACTTGGAAAGACGTATCTCAAATTTGGCGTGTAGGTATAAAGCGACAAATACAATATATAGGGTGAAGAAAAGTTTGTTTACTTTTAGATCAATGGCTGATCTGTTTGTAAAACGGCACACCATATTACACGTAGATATTAAAATTGAATCACAATTCAAGAACAATCACGCTTCATGGTTTCGATCATCCTACCCATTTTTATTTCGAAGTGGTTATGCACTCACCGGAATAGTCTAAGGTTAAGGCAGCAGTTTTACAGTTGAAATTACGATCTCAGGCCGCATGAATGACTGAATTCACGTTGGGATCCATGGACCCCTTATTTATATGAATACTAGCTGACTCGGCAGACTTCGTAGTGCCTCAATCGAGAAATAAAAGACCTGAACTTTTGTATAAAATAAACTTAGAACAAACAAAAGGAATCCGTCCGACGGGGGACACATCAAAGGGAAAACAAAATTGTTATTTTTATTTATTTCCGAGCATTTTTATATTTATCTACCTTTTAAACCTTGTCTGGACTTCCACAAATAATTCAAGATCAAAATTAGCCAAATCGTTCCAACTGTTCTCGAGTTTTAGCGAGACTAGCGAAAAACATTTCATTTTTATATATATAGATAATGAATATTAACAAAATTATTAAAAATAAATCTTTAAGTATGTGTCATCAATGGCCTGCTTATAAAGAACACAAAAAAAAAGAAGACTAAATTAACTATGTGCCGAGTCTGGTATATATGGGATTCCTATTACGGATGCGTCTTGTCTTTCCAGGTCTCCTGTGTCACTTGGACGACGCTTGCACTTCGAATCCTTGTCACGCAGACGCCATATGTGACACAAGCCCCATCAACGGCTCCTACACGTGCTCCTGCGCCTCCGGATACAAAGGTCTGGACTGCTCCGAGGACATCGACGAGTGCGAACAAGGTATTACAATGATGAGCTACTACGAAACTGTCCTTTTTAAAACTTGTCTCATTCCGAAATGTTAATATTAGCGTGGGTAGGCCTCCCACAAGATGGGCCGACTATCTATTGAGGTTCGCGGTGATCCGCTGGATGCAGGCTGCGCAGGACCGGTCTTTGTGGCGAGGCTTGGGGGAGGCCTATGTTAGTGGACGTCCATGGGCTGATAAGAAGAAGAAGAATATTAATTTTAGCTTCTGTCCACGTCCACGACTCTCGAACCTAAGTGCAGTAATCTCCCTATAACACGGTAGATTGGTTCCGCTTTATACGCGTATAACGCGTTTGTATGACCCCATATAACGCGTTATGTACATATCTAATATACAATTTAATTTTATAAAAGCATAATTGACACGATGTGCAAAGTTACGCGAAATTAGTTATGTACAAATCATTTTAAATTTTACAGTATGTACAGAATTATTAAGAGATTGAAATCGCGTAATATGAAAATGTGTTATAAGAGTACCGTGTTATAGGTGGATTACTGTATTTGATATCATTTAAATAGTTCTCTAGTGCATTCAATATGCACGTGACTGACATTGATGTGGTTAATTTGAATTAAATTCTAATTAGTCAAATACGGACTCACAATTTACAGTCCATACTTACTTATCGAACGGTTAAAGGCTATTTAGTTTAAGCGACATTTCGGTCAATAAGACATTTATCTACATATATAATTAAAGGTCCGTTTTATTTGGTATTATTAGTATCAACAATTCGATGTTTTTAATTGAACTTCAATTATATTATGTTTGACAAATTCGAATAGCTGAAGAAGTTTTAAATTTTTTGATTGCTTATATGGATGGACGAGCTCACAGCCCAACTGGTGTTAACTAGTTACTGGATTCAATAGACATCTACAACGTAAATGAGCCACCCGCCTTGATATATAAGTTCTAAGGTCTCAAGTATTTGTCATGATATTTTTTACAAATTTTTTTAGTTTAAGTGTCTCTCCTGTAAAGTTTCTAAAATGTCCCTTAAACCAAACAACCTTTCCATGTAATATTCCAATATCTTCCCGTTATCATAGGTTCTCCCTGCGAGCACGACGGGATCTGCGTCAACACCCCGGGCTCCTTCGCCTGTAACTGCTCGGTCGGTTTCACCGGACCCCGCTGCGAGACAAACGTCAATGAGTGCGAGAGTCACCCATGTCGGAACGACGGCTCCTGCCTGGACGACCCTGGCACGTTCAGATGCGTCTGTATGCCTGGTAAGTGTCTCTTTCTATTGCTTAGACTAATACCTCCTTCCTGAGTCGCATTCCTCACGTCTGAGGGTCGTGTCCATCTCCCATTATCCTTCTCTGGATTATGTTTCGCCAACTTCCTCCTGTTTTCTGCGGTGTATGGTATTATAGACTCCGCTATCCAGATTGGTGCGAATTTGGTCGGGTCAGTCTTTTGCCTGCAATTTTGCCAGTTACTAATAAATTTTTCTGGGACTCGTAGCATCTTCCTCCACCTCCACCTCCTCCTCCACATCGAAGGCATCAATGCGGAGTCCTCTGACATTCCAGGTGCCAATACGATGATGTGCTTGTATAGATGTTTTGGTGCATTTTTTTTTATTGCCCTTGTAGGCAGATGAGTATACGGCCCGCCTGATGGTGAGTGGTTACCGTTGCCCATGGACTCCAGGAATGCCAGGGGCAGAGCCAAGCCGCTGCCTACCTATTTATTTTATTTCCTCTACAACTTGGAACTTCGGTAGCCAAATTGACACCAGTCGGGCCGAGTACTGATTGGCGCCGAGTGTTAGTCGGATCGTAAAGACTAATAATACCTAAGCATCCTAAAATTTTCATGAAAAAAATCCTCCACATACCCATTTCATAGGAGAACGGAAAGCGCATATTAGTTTCAGCGGAGACAATCGAAAAACATTATTGGGCGTTGTCGTGAACCGTAACTAAGTAATGCAGTTGATATTAAACACAATTGCTTGTATTTATTGTAGTTGAATTGCAAACTAGTCACGACCCGATAGAGATAAAATTAATGCCTTAAATGTGTGTAGCCTTATGTAACTAGAACACTTTAATGTTTGCCATAAGAAAAGTCAAACGCCATGAGATAAGGTTAATTCGGTTTTGTTTCATTATGGTTTTATTGTAATTGAAAAGTATTATTGGATAGAAATTGCGAATCGGCAAATCCAAGGAAGAAGCTTGTCTAGTGTATTTGATATTATCTTCCTTTTCACCACCCTATCCCACTAGGTGGGGTCGGCACAGCTAATTTTTCTCTTCCATTCTCTTCTATCAGCCGTCATCTCAACACTCACTCCTCTCTCTCTCTCTCTCTTTCTCTCTCTCTCTCTCTCTCTCTCATATCGTCCATACCACCATACCATACCATACATCTCCTAGTCACGTCACATGCATCTTCTCTCTACGCATCACATGTCCATACTACGCTAACCGTCCTAACAGTGTATATGATATTATGATAACGTGATACATAATATTTTAAATAGCTATTAGGTTCTTATTACAAATTGTACGTTTAATCAGTTCCCGATATTTGCAATTGCATGTACAATAATAATTATAATTTGCGTAATTACTGGTGGTAGGACCTTTTGTGAGTCCGCGCGGGTAGGTACCACCGCCCTGCCTATTTCTGCCGTGAAGCAGTAATGCGTTTAGGCTTGAAGGGTGGAGCAGCCGTTGTAACTATACTGAGATCTTAGAACTTATATCTCGAGGTGGGTGGCGCATTTACGTTGTAGATGTCCATGGGCTCCAGTAACCACTTAACACCAGGTGGGCTGTGAGCTCGTCCATCAAAATAAGCAATAAAAAAATAAATAGTCCAATGATGAAGAATGCCTTTAAAATTGCCAACTGGTGCCAATCGTCCATAATACGCGTGAATATTTCAGTCGAACTGTTCCTTTTCAAAAAAGCTCTTTCTATAAAACGGTGAATGTACTACTAGAGTCTGAGGTTACAATTTGCTCGGGCACTGACAGTGCTCGCACAGATGATTGTCATTACTAGAAGCCGTGCGAACGAGAGGGGTGTAGGGCTGCCACTGTAAATATATATAATATATATTTTTTCTTTTCCTACCTATTCGTTCGTAGCCTAGGGGGCAATTTGAGCTACGCGGGGTCTGGTAAATGTATTCACGAGTTCAACCTGAGACAATTCGCTAACACTAGCCCTAACAAGAGCAATGCCTCGCTGAATTTACCACAGGTTCGGAGTCGCGACCCATTCAGAACAAAAATCCAGTGAGAAACTCAGAGTCACTCAGTGCGACAACCGTTGTAACTATACTTGAGACCTTAGAACTTATATCTCAAGGAGGGTAGCACGTTTACGTTGTAGATGTCTATGGGCTCTAGTAATCACTTAACTGGGTGGGCTATGACCTCGTCCATCCAGCCATCTAAGAAATAAAATTAAAAAATTAAAAAAATCGTCATCGCCAGCCCTGAGTTCGGTTCCCATGACGCGGTAAGCGGCGCCTGAGCATTGTCTCCGACGCGGAAGCACTTGCCATCGACCTCAATGCTTTATGTAATCACCTGCTTAATTGATAACTCATATTCGTTTATGGGATTAATTATTAAAGTCATATTTAGATATAAGTGTTCAAACTTATCACACGTGCAGCACAGATATACAATCTCGCGTTATTACTGCCTTCATAATTCGAGGGGTGATAAGCTATTTACTTTAAGCGACATTTCGCTTAATGCACTACATTTATCTTTGTAATTAAAGCTCCGTTTTTTAAGGTACTAGCATCAACAGTTCGATATTTTTAATTGAACTTCGCTTAAGTTTACCCCACTCATTAAGCCGAAGTTTTTTTTTGGTCATAACATTTTTTCCAAGTTTTAACCTCCAAATGGCTTCCCTGTAAAGTTGAAAAATTTCCCCATAAATCAAATATTCATCCCTCGATATGTGTTAAATGTGACAAAGCGCAAACAGACCTTTTCATCACCCGAGTCTATGCCCGATTTAGTCGAATCGAACCCACGACCGTTGGCACAACAGTCAGGGCGCTAACCACTACACCGACTCCTGTCTTTAGCTGTCCCAAATAAAGCAGTTTTCAGGATACGCTATAATATAATAGCACATAGTATATAGCTCACAGCACAACAATATCGCGCACCATACATTGTTATGGACACGTTCACACTGTACTGTACTATATAATATTGTTGGTTAAGTATACGCTGCTATACTTTATGGCACCATAACATCGTGCAACAAAAATCGTACACGCAAAATTATAAATTGCGTAATTACTGGTGGTAGGACCTCTTGTGAGTCCGCGCGGGTAGGTACCACCGCCCTGCCTATTTCTGCCGTGGGGCAGCCGTTGTAACTATACTTGAGACCTTAGAACTTATATCTCAAAGTGGGTGGCGCATTTACGCTGTAGGTGTCTATGGGCTCCAGTAACCACTTAACACCAGGTGGGCTGTGAGATCGTCCACCTATCTAAGCAATAAAATAAAATAAAACTATGGTATAGCTTAGTCTGAAAGCAGCTTTAGAGGTAGGGAGCTCATGATTTCATGATCATGATCATGAGTTTAGGCTTAAAAATATTGTTGTTAAAGGTATTGACAATTTGACCTATGGCATCCATATTGGAATATACAATACGTCGTTACAAAGTTACATAGATTTATATAATACGTGTCATGGAAGCAATGATGCGTAAAAAGCCACACTCCGTAACGGCAACCATATTATTATATAAAACAGCTAAATAAAATTGTACTCACCATTACGGTAACAAAAATTCCATAATATTTAGCTGAGTTACCTCTCACACATGCCTGTGACCAAATGGAATTGTTTATTTGAATATTTCGCAATGTTTTTTTTTTTATCGCATTAAATGGTTATTAGCGACCGTAGATATGAATACATGCACGCCACCCGCCATCTTGAAACATGATGGCGGATTTTTCGACATTGTACTCCTCATATACTGTAAAACAACTATCCCATCCTATAAGCCGTAATGCATAATACAGACCTACTAGCGTGGTGAATGTTACTATCAACATTAGAAAACTAAAACAAATTATTCAATCATTCAAGGGGTGAAAGGATTTTTGGTTTAAGCGACATATTTGCAACTTTACAGGAGAGCCATTTATTATAAGTTAAAATTTGGAAAAAAATTACATGACAAAGAACTTCTTTATTCGTAAACTTTTACTGGTGGTAGGACCTCTTGTGAGACCGCACGGGTAGGTATCACCACCCTGCCCATTTCTGCCGTGAAGCAGTAATGCGTTTCGGTTTGAAGGGTAGGGCAGCCGCTGTAACTATACCTGAGACCTTAAAACTTATATCTCAAGGTGGGTAGCGCATTTACCTTATAGATGCCTATGGGCTCCAGTTATAACACGAGGCGGGCTGTGAGCTCGTCCACCCATCTAAGCAATAAAAATTAAATAAAAAATTCAATTAAAAATATCGAATTGTTGATATTAATATGAAATAAAACGGACCTTTAATTACAAAGATAAATGTCGCTTATTAACAGAAAAGTCGCTTAAACCAAATAGACTTTCACCCCTCGTATACCTACACTTTACAAAAAAATCTCTTTTATATGTATAACTATTAAAATTATTTCCTCCTATAAAATGTTGTTTTTGCTCTCAAACAAAACTAAACAAAAACGATTCGTAATTGCATAAGATCGAATGATTTATCATATTAAAATCAGTACTGTTTTCGGTAGGCAGTGGCTTGGCTCTGCCCCTGGCATTGCTGAAGTCCATGGGCGACGGTAACCGCTCACCATTAGGTGGGCCGTATGTTCGTCTGCCTACAAGGGCAATAAAAAAAAAGACTTGTCACATCGCGCTTAACGCAATCCCATGAAAAATCGCGGCCCAATAAAGCGATCTAACAGCAAAAATAAGTCAAGACGATACACATTGTACCTTAAAGCAGTCAGCAGCTGGTCGTAAGTATCTAAAAGTCGTATTAAGCATTCAGTTATGCGCATAGAGCCGACATTAGCATGCGCTGGACATTCTCAACGCGGTTATGTGATACAAAATCGTGACGTTGTCCGACCGTGGCACTGTGGTTATTTCGTGTACTTACTAAAATAATTTTGCACTAGGCTTTTTAATGTGGAACATGAGCTTAACTCATTATGACCTGATGATGATACGGCGGTAGAAATGAAAAGACTACCAAAATGAACAACTTTTCTTATGTTCAAATTTAATCAAATGACATACGTTATCGAATTAAAATTGAACTATTTTTCTATTATCATTCTAAAACCCTCTATAAATCGATTCACGGGAAAGAGACAAGAGAATCATTTAGCACTAGACTTTTTAATGTAGAAAATGAGCTTAACTCATTACGACTTAATTATGGTATGGCGGTAGAAACGACTTATGGCTAAGAAAATAAACAACTTTTCATTATAATTCTCCTGCGCTTCTCCCAGTCTCCTGGAGTTGACGCAACATGTTTTCTCCTTCCATACTCCTCTATCATATAGGTACCATTTCTTCGCTCACTACCCTCTTGCATATTATATCGTCTTTCACGCAATCCATCCATTTTCTTATGTTCAAATTTTTTCATTTTAAAACTCTGTTCATCTACAACTCGATCCAAGCGACAAGCGAGCGAGCGCTGGGCGTGGCGTCCCCTACCACGTGTCTTGACCACGTTCTTTAGGTCAAGTCGTTTAAATACTGTTTCGATTACGTAATATCATTTTAGTGGCTTTGTTTTAACTTGATAACAATGTTAAGGTGTGTTTCATGACAAAGAGATGTTGTAAAAAATATTAGTATAATTTTTTTTTAATAATAAGCTTAATTTGAAAAGGCTTATTATCACCGAAGAGACAATTTTATTTAAAAACTTGTACAGCCAAACGCAAATTTGGCTTTCCTTGTATTTTGTGTACTTTTCCTTTCATTACAAAAGAATTCATAGTTTTTGCAGATGCAAAGCAACCTACCCGATTTGGCTTTATTGTATTCTTCGGGCAGCTCGAACGGAATACTGTTGCCATGCAAAAATAAAACGTAGGCCTCGAAAATAAGAGTTACCGCCTACGATGCGATTTACAACAAGTCTTTAAATGGACACTGTGAATACTGGCCATAGCTGGATTGTCCGGCCCCAGGCAATATCAAATATGTACATCGAATTTTCACTCTTAGAAAGATCGGTATAAAGCTGTTATTCCAAATTCACGATCACGGATCCGGTTCTGCACTGAACTAAAACAATCAATGTAACTTGATCTTTATCTCCACAAAGTAAGATGTACATTTGATTGTTTACGTAAATAATGAATCCCGAACGTCAGGAACGTTGAGGCCAATTAGCATTCTTGCGCGGAGACAAGACCTGTGGGATAGACATGATATCTTTGCCTATTAAAAATTTGAATGGTGATTCACATAAATTGCGAGAGGAGCTCATGAATTCAAGAAAGGTTAATCAATTTTGATCGTTGTATAAATAAAATAAAATGCAGAAATCGTTACGAAACTCAGCTTCTGACTTCTGATAGAATGAAAATAATATCAGATAATTGCAATTCGGAAGTATACAATACGGATAATATCCGCATAGTAATATTTACGATTACGTTAGAAGTCGTTGAAATAGGCTAGATTGATATGGTCAGTTATCTTGAAACTGTTTATTGATTAATCGACGTATTTGGCCAGACTTTTATATGACCAGGGAAGCGCTAAAATAAATCCGCATTGTTTAATTGTTTTTTTATTGCTTATATGGGTTGACGAGCTCACAGCCCACCTGGTGTTAAGTGGTTACTGGGGCCCATAGAAATTTACAACGTAAATGCGCCACTCACCTTTAGATGTGTATCGTTTGCGACGAAGGGCTCGACGAGCGAATTAATCCACAGACAGCCCATTGAGTTTTTCGCCGGATCTTCTCAGTGGGTCGCGTCTCCGATCCGGTGGTAGATTCTGCGAAGCACTGCTCTTGCTAGGGCCAGTGTTAGCAACACTCCGGTTTGAGCCCCATGAGCTCACCTACACGTCAGGGTGAAGCTGATATAGCCTCCCAAGGCTATCAGCATAGGTAGGGAAAAAAAGTACCATCCTCTGTTAAGCGTGTAAAAATAATTTTATCATAAAATGCTTTGACCAAAATAACCGTGTGTTCGTTTCCAGGTTTCACGGGAACTCAATGCGAGGTTGAAATCGACGAATGCGCTAACAACCCTTGTCTGAATGGAGGAGTTTGTCACGATATGATCAACGCCTTTCGATGTACCTGCGTTATTGGGTGAGCTACAATCAATTTAGAATTAGACGTTTAATGTAATGTCTTCATATTACACATTCATACTGATCGTCTAAATGGTTGTCTAAATAGATTACTGGTGGTAGGACCTCTTGTGAGTCCGCGCGGGTAGGTACCACCGCCCCGCCTATTTCTGCCGTGAAGCAGTAATCGTAAGCGTTTCGGTCTGAAGGGTAGGGCAGCCGTTGTAACTATACTGAGATCTTAGAACTTATAGCTCAAGGTGGGTGACGCATTTACGTTGTAGATGTCTATGGGCTCCAGTAACCACTTAACACAAGATGGGCTGTGAGCTCGTTCGCCAATCTAAGCAATAACAAAAAAAAATATATTGTAATATTGTTTGAAGAGAGTAATTCTATGGGCCAATAAAATCTTGGAAGTATCGGTATAGTCTGTCTCGTTCCCGCAAAGCGAATGTTCGTATGTAATCTGCGCGACTCATGTGAATATTTACGTCATCATACAATACTTTACGTTAGTTAGCATTAAACTAAAAGGTTTTTTTAATGTTTTAATTTAGTTTTTTATTTGGGTTTCGCTGATAGCCCGTATATAAAGAGTTAGATTTTATTTGGAAAAAAAAAACAGTCGACGATACAATAGATGTTTTCTTTTCAAATAAATAATTCTTGATCATCGCGGCTTAATGAAGTTAGTTTATAAAAAGGAAAACAAAACTCACCACCAGCCTTTTGATTCTCTCGAAATTCAAACTGATTTTTTAACCAAACAAATTGTTTTCTTTCTTCTTCTTTTTCTTTTTCTCTATGAAACTCTTCGGGAACTAATTTGAAATTTGGTCTATTACTGTGCTTTACTATACAAATACCTTAATTCCCCCGCCCAGGTTCACGGGGGCTCGTTGTCAAGTCAACATCGACGACTGCGCGTCTAGTCCGTGCCGTAATGGCGGCACGTGCCACGACTCTATAGCTGGATACACATGCGAATGTCCCGCGGGCTATACAGGTAACACGTATGAAAATTATTTACCTATCCCTAAATTAGCCCTAACCATTGATTTAGTTAACGAATCATCCGAGAAGATATCAACATTTGAAGTTTATGCAAATCCTTACCATGCATCTGTGTACAGTTGGAACAGCGCCCCTAGCGGCAAACCTAGGCTAACGTTCCAACTCCATACAAATTTGAGTTAAATTTTACGGTATCGAGAACTTTAAAAAGTCGCACTAAGCACATTGAAGTGATAAAGTAAGGTGTAGGTGTCTTACTGGTAGGACGTCCTGTGAGTCCGCGCGGGTAGTTACCACCACTCTGCCTATTTCTGTCGTGAAGCAGTAATGCGTTTTATCTTGAATGGTGGGCGCAGCCGTTTTACTGTAAAGCCTGAGACCTTAGAACTCATATCTCAAGGTAGGTGGCGGTATTTAGCCATGAGCTGGTCCATCCATCTAAGCAATAAAAAGAAAACTTATCCCTTAAGGATCGTGGTTGTCATCAGAAAGCCTACGCCTCGCAATTAGGTATAAAGTTCTATTTGTATGTCCAACACAACAGGTATGTCGTGTGAGACGAACATCAATGACTGTTTGTCGGCGCCGTGTCACCGGGGCGAGTGCATCGACGGGGACAACAGCTTCACCTGCAACTGTCATCCGGGGTACACGGGCAGGGTCTGTCAGACCCAAATCAACGAGTGCGAGTCGAATCCCTGCCAGTTCGGAGGTAAATTAGACAGAATACCTGTTTATGTTAGGGATTTTGACAGGTACGACTAATGAAGAACTTCGTACGATCTTATTAAAGGATGTCACCAAGAAAGCAGAGTGAGATAACACAATTGGCCATTAGAATGATTGCAGGGTGGAGGAATTTGGTAATTGAGTAACAATATAATTCAGAAGACAGCATTGTCATCAACAAAATCAAATTTTACAAAGCTCCCCATCCCACTTTTAGATATCAGGACTAGACTTTTTATGTACATAGTTACAATAATAATAAAGGATAATAAAGGAAAACCACTTCCTGAAGGGATCGGAGTGCAAAAACATGTGAACAAAGAACTCAGCAAATTAGAGATAACATTATAATGTCACATTTATCTATATGCGCAGATGCTATTGTACTAAGCATTTTGGGTGATTTTAAAGTGAACCCTTTTAGTGCTGAGCCTACTTTTACTTAATTTGCAAAAATTGATAAAGGATTTTTAAAAGAACGTACTTTATAAAAAAAAGTAACTTATTTTCACAGAAAAATAATTCACGGCCGTACAGGTCGATACCTATAACCAAACTACGCAATAGTCGGTATATATTCGGCAATAGAGCGTCGATCTATCGATGGTTCGGGCTCAAAAGGTTATAAATACACAATTTTTTTAGGGCACTGCGAAGATTTGATCGGTGGATACCAGTGTCGCTGTAAGCCCGGTACTTCAGGGAGGAACTGTGAAATCAATGTGAACGAGTGCTACTCCAACCCTTGCAGGAACGGGGCTACGTGTATTGATGGCATCAACAGGTACCATATCATACTTTTAGATAAACGACAGACCCATTTCAAGTAGATTAATCACAAATTGCTTTTATTTCACATGTTTCTCCTTTGAGTAGTAGTACTTTTACTATTACTGAACTATATTTGCTTTTATTTTGCTTCTACTAATGCTAATTAGTTTGGTTTATGTTCTTTAATCTAATTGTTTGGATGCTTGACGCCTTTATTCGCTTTGGGTAAAACCGTTTTATGACATTTTTAATTCACCATTATTTTCTTTACATGCAGCAATAACTATTTTGAGTAAGTTTGCTTATCTTATTTAATACCTTTTATACGTTTTTTATTTTGACTAACGCAGTAAAATTAATCTGCTTAAATATTATAGTAGAATCGTTATTAGCGTCTAACAGATTTGCATTGTCAACTCACAATTTTTTTATTATTTGAAAAATAAATTTATTTTGTTATAATTTAATTAGCAATATTAATATGAACCTCAATTCCCTTAGATATACCTGCGAATGTATTCCCGGTTTCACTGGACAACATTGCGAGACGAACATCAATGAATGTTTGTCAAATCCTTGCGCTAATGGCGGCAAATGTATCGATCGAATTAACGGATTCAGATGCGAATGTCCAAGAGGATACTACGATGCTAGGTAAGTTTAACAAGGATGAGATTTTTAAATCCTTTTTATTCGCTGGTGGATAGCCTAAGGGGCTATTCCAGCTACTCATTGACTGGTAAATGAGCTCACGGGCTCAAACTGAGAGAATTTGCTAACACTAGCCCTAGAAAGAGCAGTGTTTCGCATAACCTACCACCGAATTGAAATCGCGACCCACTGAGAAGATCCGGTGAGAAACTCAGTGGGCTGGATATGTTTTGAATCGTGTTCTCGTTTAAAAATACTCTCTGCCAATTTAATTCAGTATATTCCAAATTATGTCATCGTATTAATTAAAAAAAATAAACTTAATATACTATATAATTCGTATTAAGCATCCAAATTGAAATATGCTCTACTACCACTACTGCGCTGGCGCTATGACCCTGAAGTGGGTCTTGGCCTCCGACAATAAACTTAGCCATTCATCCCGGCACTGCGCAACACCTTGCCGGTCCGACACTTGGAGCTCACGTAGACTTCTTTCCACAGCGTCAGACCAGCTGTACTTGGGCCTCTCTACGGGGCGGCGTCCCTCCAGTACACTCGCGTACACCCGTTTCATAGTCCGATCCTGCTCCATACACACTACATGTCCGAAATATGTTCGATACCGACTTTTTAATATTCTATCAATACAATGAAAAATGAAATTTCTGAATCTGTTATTCACAGATGCTTGTCCGATGTTAACGAGTGTGCGTCGAATCCGTGCACCAATGGCGGCTCCTGCGAGGATGGCGTCAACCAGTTCATATGCCACTGCCTTCCTGGTTACGGAGGTATTGACAGCTTTAACTACACTAGTGGTCGCTTAGTAACCGAAATTCGACCATAATTAATTTAAATTATACGTTTGAACATTATTATGGTTTTATTGTCACATTTCTATAATCATCATTGTTCTATAATCAAAGATTTCGCCAAGGCCATACACCGTAGACAAATAATACTAAAAACAAACAATATTAATCTATTCTCAATTTGACAGTTAACAATAAAAAAAAGAATATAATGCGTGTGTGTCAAATATATGGTATTGTGTGAATTTATTTATTTATTGATTTTGTTTGTTGTTTTGTATTTATTGTTTATTTATGTAAATTTTTTAAGCATATTTTAATTTAAAAAAAATTTGTATTCTGCACTTCTTCTCTATGATATTTATAAGTGTGACAAACTTCATACTCCTGTGTCCGCACAATTTTCGTCAAAAGGGATTTTTGCTCACGTATTATTATATGGATTTCGTTGAAAAGTTGTGCTGTCTAATTATTTTATGTCATGTGTGTTAAGAGCACACAGATCTATAAAGAAATAGAAGTTGCAAGTTTAATGATTTTTTTTATTTTATTCATTGTTTGTTTTTCTCAGGACAACGTTGTGAACGCGATATAGATGAGTGCAGCTCGAACCCTTGTCAACACGGCGGCACTTGTCATGATCGACTGAACGCTTACAAATGCGACTGTATTCTTGGATTTACCGGTCAGAATAATTCGATTATAGTTAAATATTTAGAGGACTTTTAGTTCACATTAGAAACTCCCCAAATTTGTTTGTTCCATAAATAACGTAACTCTTTCTTTCACGTCTCGTTGAAAGCTCAAATTTATTTTGAACTTCAGTTATATCACGTATTATAATTTTTTTTGTAAGCGATAACTTCAAAGCACATGTGTAATAAAGTGAAGGCTTTGAACAACATCTCAATTATCCTCAAACTCTTCGCCACAGAGATAGACTTCAATATAGACCCGTGCAGGCTCTGCCTCTCATATGTTATACTGTATGCGCGCTAGTTCATGTCCATCGGGACCAAAGGCGTCGCGCGGGGGGGAAGCTCGCCCCGCATGCGCCCGCATCCCCGCGTTTGTTTGACGTCGAGTGTTGTCCTTGACGGTTGTGACGCGCGCATATCGATACCGAAAATTTACGCTAGCGCTATTGTGTTATTTCATTGTGAATAAACCATGACTACTCCGCTTCCAACAAGTTCAGGTAGAAAAATAGATACTGATTCCGACTCTGATCTGTCGGTTGTCTTTTCATCTGATTGTAATTGAATTGGAATTTAAAAAATATTTTTCTCTATTAGAAATAAATAGGAAATTACTTATCACATTTATTTTATTTCATAATTTACAAAATTATAATACCTTAAGTTACATTGAACCAAATTGACAGCTGTTGACTGAATCGATAGTTATTATCGACATTACCATATAATTAACTAGGTCACGGCACTACCGCATTCCTCATGAACTCGTGCGCTTGTTGTACTTAAAGATTGCAGGTTTAAATTACGTAGATACGAACGTTCACGGAGCCCTAAAGTTTTTCGTTGTTTCGTCTAGGCGTGAACTGCGAGACGAACATCGACGACTGCGCCGGCAACCCTTGTCTGCACGGCGGCTCGTGCATCGACCTGGTGAACGGGTACCGCTGCGTCTGCGCCCCCCCACACTCCGGACGAAACTGCGAAAACACCCTCGACCCTTGCATGCCGAACCAGTGAGCTCTTGTTGCATTTACTAGCGCATCACCCCGAGACCCCGGCCTAGTAGCCTAGTCAACAAGTGCCAAAATTAATGCAAATTGAATAATGGAATTATCTTAGCAAATTAGTGTATTGTCATCAGTCCTCGATTAATCTACAAAGTTTGAATGATATCTGGCCGTTTAAAGTGGGTCGAAATCGCGTCTAAAGGAGTCAGTTACAAACATACATACAAGTGAAGCTAATATAAAGCGTGTAAAAATACACAGTCAATAATAATAGTATTTCTTGATCTGTGAACAGATGTCGTCACGGCGGGCGGTGCGTGGCGGAGGCGTCGTACGCGGAGTTCACGTGCCAGTGCCCGGTCGGGTGGACGGGCGCGCTGTGCGAGCGCGACGTGGACGAGTGCGCGGTGACGGCGCCCTGCCACAACGAGGCGACCTGCATCAACACGGAGGGCTCGTACGCGTGCCTCTGCGCCAGGGGATACGAGGGCAAGGACTGCGCCATCAACACGGACGACTGCGCATCGTGTCAGTAGCATTACAGTCTTTAGAATTTACAGAACTGGCCAATATATTTCATTTTATTTATTTATTACACTTCATGTAAAGTTTACATTGACGAACTTAATGCCTAAGGCATTCTCTACCAGTCAGTGCAGAGTGAATAGTGGTATATTTATATTAAATTACAAACACATACACAAAAAAAGTATATAAATATACTTACTATAAAAAAAGTATATAAATATACTTTTTATATACCACAAAGCGCCGACCTCAATGCAATACCATTTTATAGCCCCGACCGCAAACCTCTGAGAATAAATAATTCTTAGAATGATATGTCTTCTTGCGGCGTTTGAGGTAAATCTCACATACAGCCCTGTCATTTCGGATTCTCCCGATCCACTAACGGTGATTTTAGGTACCTCAAGCACTGGTCATCGTCCTCGCCGAACCTGTCGCTTGCGGCGAAGGGCTCGACGAGTAAATTAACCCATAGACACAGCCCACTGAGTTTCTCGCCGGATCTTCTCAGTGGGTCGCTTTTCCGATCCGGTGGTAGATTCAGCGAAGCACGGCTCTTGCTAGGGTTCGTGTTAGCAATGTCGTCACGTTTGAGCCCCGTGAGCTCACCTACTAGTTAAGGTTACGCTGAAATAGCCTCTCAAGGCTATCAGCTTAGGTAGGAAAAAAAGTAGCCTTTAGAATTTATAGAAGTGGTCAATATATGTACATTTATATTTCTTTTTATCTCTATGAATTTTATAAGAATTAAATATTGCGTATATTGTTATTTCAAACATGTCAAAGATGTAAAACGCTCAATTAATGCTATTATGGTCCCTCAAGGGTCGACCACTTGATCGTTAAGAAAGGGCTTTGCACTCGTTTATTTGTTCTAAATTCAAATTGAACGCTTTTATTTATTTTTATCAATTGTTTTATTTTCCACCAGTCCCGTGTCAGAACGGAGCGACATGTCTGGACAGCATCGGCGACTACAACTGTGTTTGCGCCAGCGGCTTCGCGGGCAAGCACTGCGAGGTGGACATCGACGAGTGCCAGTCGAGACCCTGCATGAACGGCGCCACTTGTAACCAGGTACGTTGGTAACATCCTCAATTCGAAGAAACCCCTGACCTGGTTGTTAAAACTGAATAGTTTTTTTTCTTATTGCCTAAATGGGTGGACGAGCTCAAGGCCCACCTGGTGTTAAATGATTATCGAAGCCCATAGACATATACAAAGTAAATGCCTCCACACAATTTTAAGTCGTCGCGGCCTAAAGGATAAGACGTCTGGTGCATTAGTATGTAGCGATGCACCGAGTTTTCTAATGAAATACATACTGTTAAAAGTAAAAGTCTCAGTATAATTACAACGGCTGCCCCGCCCTTTAAACCGAAACGCGTTACTGCTTTACGGCAGAAATAGGTGGGGTGGTGGTGCCTGCGCGTGCGGACTCACAAGATGTTCTACCACCAGTAGTGTCATTTAATTTGCGGTAGGCAGCGGCTTGGCTCTACCCCTGGCATTGCTGATGTCCATGGGCGACGGTAACCACTCGCCATCAGGTGGGCCGTACGTGCCTACAAGCCCACTAATCATCAATCACGCACAAAGATAGGTATTTAAAGATGTCTCCCTTTTCAGTATGTTGCGTCATACACGTGCACGTGCCCGCTTGGCTTCTCCGGCATCAACTGTCAGACCAACGACGAGGACTGCACCGAATCGAGCTGCATGAACGGAGGGACCTGTATCGACGGCATCAACTCTTACAACTGCTCCTGTCCGCCGGGGTGAGTTCAGCCCTCCGTTTTTTTTTATTGCTTATATGGGTGGACAAGCTCACAGCCCACCTGGTGTTAAGTGGTCACAAATAGTGGCTTCCACAAATAATTTAAGACCAAAATTAGCCAAATCGGTCCAGCCGTTCGCGAGTTTTAGCGAGACTAACGAACAGCAATTCATTTTTATACATATAGATATCGATGATTGTATGTATGTCGTTTTGTCCATCAGGTACACCGGCTCCAATTGTCAGTTCCGCATCAACATGTGCGACAGTTCACCGTGCGACAACGGCGCGACATGTCACGATCACATCACCTACTACACATGTCACTGCCCGTATGGCTACACCGGAAAGCACTGCGAAGACTTTGTTGACTGGTAAGTCAAGTTGTGTACAAGCATCTCACAAGTTATTCATTTTGGCAGGCTGATCCGTTTGGAAGCCCTTGGTCTGCGGAGGGACTTCGGTTCTCTCTGTGTTTTAGACCGTATGTTCCATGGGGAGTGGTCTGAGGAATTGTTTGAGATGATACCACCATCTCGTCTTTACTATCGCATCGCTCGCCACCGGAGTAGAGTTCATCCATACTACCTGGAGCCACTGCGGTCATCCACAGTGCGTTTCCAGGAATCTTTTTTGCCACGTACCATCCGGCTTTGGAATGAGCTTTCCCTGTGCGGTGTTTCCCGAGCGCTATGACATGTCCTTCTTCAAACGAGGCTTGTGGAGAGTACTTAATGGTAGGCAGTGGCTTGGCTCTGCCTTCGGCATTGCTGATATCCATGGGCGACGCTAATCACTCACCATCACGTGGGCCTTACGTTCTTCTGTCTACAAGGGCAATAAAAAAGTTTCATTTCCAAGGTTGATGTTTTTGGTTCGTAGCAAATATAACATCGGTTAGTCTACATAGGACCACCAATATAAGCCCTAAAATACTAAATCCTAGTTTACAAGTGAACTCAGTTTCGTAACGAGTAGCTGAATTAAAATACTGTTACTGCGGTTTGCTTAGAGACCGTTCTCACGTTACGTTATTAGAGAGAAAGAGAGAGAGAATATGATTTATTGCACACAAAAACACAATTAACATTGGAAAAATTCAATAAGCAGATACATTTGTAAAATAGGCGGTCTTATGGCTAAAAAGCGATCTCTTCGAGACAACCGTTTACTTTACAGAAATTCTGGAACAGATAAATATATAGTAGATATTAATATGTTGCGGTGTACTATTTATTAGTAATAAATTATTATAGAAAATGCACACATATAATAATTAGATACATATATACCGTTTACATATATTTGATTTATATAAAATATGTACCAATACTTACATATATTTATTATTCAGGTGTGAGAACAATCCGTGCGAGAACGGAGCGACATGTTCGCAGAAAGGTCCCCAGTACACGTGCACCTGCGCCCCGGGATGGTCCGGGAAACTGTGCGACGTCGAAATGGTGTCTTGTAAAGATGCTTCCATCAGAAAAGGTATTCATCGAAACTATTTTTTTTAATTCCAAATAATTGAGCTGTAACTCGCTGCTTAAATGGCGTTCAATTTTAAATTTGGCATATACAGCATGATGTTTTTTCGGGATATTTTAAAATAAATGAGTTATCAAAGGTTTATTATTCCGTTTGAATTTCAAGATTCGACAGTTTTATAGATTTATAGACATTTATATATAAAAAGGTATACATGATTTGGAATATTTTTTTCTAGGCGTAAAACTAAAGCAGCTCTGCAACAACGGCACCTGCGAAGACATCGGCAACTCTCATCGTTGTCACTGTCAGGACGGCTACACCGGCTCCTACTGCCAGAAGGATATTAACGAATGCGAATCCGCTCCTTGTCAGAACGGAGCTCTCTGCAAGGATCTCGTCGGAACTTACCAGTGTCAATGCGCCAAAGGTTTCCAAGGACAGAACTGCGAGCTCAACGTCAACGACTGCCTGCCGAACCCGTGCCAAAACGGAGGAACATGCCACGATCTCATCAACAACTTCTCATGCTCCTGCCCTTTCGGCACTTTGGGGAAGATATGCGAAATAAACGTTAACGATTGCAAACAAGATGCGTGTCATAACAACGGCACTTGCATCGACAGAGTCGGCGGCTTCGAGTGCAAGTGTCCGCCCGGCTTCGTCGGACCGAGGTGTGAAGGCGACATCAACGAGTGCCTCTCGAACCCTTGCTCGCTGCCCGGTACACAAGACTGCGTGCAACTCATCAATGACTATCACTGCAACTGCAAACCCGGGTACATGGGAAGGCACTGCGATGCCAAAGTCAACTTCTGCGCTAACTCGCCCTGTCAAAATGGCGGCATATGCACCGCTATACAGGGTGGCCACGAATGCTTGTGTAACGAAGGCTTTTACGGGAATAACTGCGAATATTCAGGCTACGCTTGCGATTCGAATCCGTGTCAAAACGGTGGATACTGCCACACTTCCCAAATAGGAGGATACGCGTGTGAATGTCCGTTGGGATTGTCCGGTGTCAGCTGCGAAATAGATTCAATGAACGAATGCTTGAGTAACCCGTGCAAGCATCCGGAGGCACGGTGCATAGACAAGCCCGGAGACTACATATGCTATTGTCCTAGACAATGGACAGGGAAGAACTGTGATATTCACGATCACAACGCCAAAGGCGGATACGGTAGTCCGATAACCGGCATTTTTAGCAACAAAAATCCGGGACTGACTCTAGAGGAACTTGATTTAGCCTTCCAAAGAGAGCAGTGCGTTAAAAAGGGCTGCAAAGAGAAACAGGGTGACCACCATTGCGACGAGGAATGCAACACGTACGCGTGTGAATTCGACGGCAACGATTGCTCGTTGGGCATCAATCCGTGGGCAAACTGTACGGCTCCGATCAACTGTTGGGAGGTGTTCATGAATGGTGAATGTAACGAGGTCTGCAACACCCAAGCTTGTCTGTTCGATGGAAGGGACTGTCAAAAGTCCCTACAGAGATGCAACCCTATATATGACGCGTACTGCCAGAAACATTACGCCAACGGTCATTGCGACTACGGCTGTAACAACGCCGAATGTAATTGGGACGGTCTTGACTGCGAAAACGAACCGCCTGATTTAGCCGAAGGAGTGATGTCCGTCATCCTGCTGATGGACATGAAGACCTTTAAGGAGAACTCGGTGGCCTTCCTCAGAGATCTCGGTCATCAGTTACGGACCACCGTTCTGATAAAGAAGGATCATTTAGGTAATGACATGGTGTTGCCTTGGAAGGGCTCCACTGACGTTGGACTGGAAGAGACCGAATTCGGAAAGAAACATCATATTGTTTACACGGAAAGAGGACAGTCCGGTGTGCAGGTGTACTTAGAACTTGACAACAGAAAATGCACTACAATGTTAAGTTCAGAGTGCTTCTTCTCAGCCAGAGAAGCCGCCGATTTTCTTGCAGCCACGGCCTCCAAACATTCGCTGTCACCGGACTTTCCGATTTACCAAGTCAAGGGCGTAAACCCTCCTATTACTGACGAAGTTCCTACAAACTCTAAATACGTCTTCATTGGAGTCATTTTGGTTCTGCTAGCCGGTCTCCTGATAGGAGTTTTAGTAACCGCTCAGAGGAAACGCGCCGCCGGCATAACATGGTTCCCAGAAGGATTTATCCGTTCGAACTCCTCGACACGGCGTCGGTCACGCCGCCGTGGACCAGACGGCCAGGAGATGCGGAATCTCAATAAAGGATCCATAGGCTGTATCGACGTCGATATCAATGGAGGCCACATGGGTCCACCGCACTCTTGGTCTGACGAAGACGACGATGGCTCGGCCCCTCCCAGAGCCAAGAGAGCCAGAGGACCAGGTGACGCGAATGGGGCTCCAGGAGGCTATGCCTCAGATCACACGGCCATCACTGATTATGAGGAAGCCGGCCATGAACCAAGAGTGTGGACTCAGCAACATTTGGATGCGGCAGATATCAGAGTACCGCCCAGTATGATGACCCCGCCTGCAATCGTAAGTACTATTTTGAATTCATCTTTCATTCATTTTCTTATCTATATATATTATTTGGTTTATGGTCTAGAAATATGTGATAATGCTCATCCATAGTATACAAGTAATAGATAAGCGGGTTGTTTGTAAAAAGGCTCCGAACATTCCGGCTGTCGTGTGAACCTCCACGGTATTTCTAGATACTTATATACTAGAACATGTTGTTTTTCAGACAAAGTTTAAAATTACCCTTCAGTGACCGCAGTGTAGCTGTGTTCTTAGCATTGCTATTGTTTCCGAGTGACGTTAAAAACTCACCATCAGACGGGTCGTCAGGCCATCTATCTGCCTTTGGTAGCAATACTCAAGCTATAATCTAATTTACTAACATAACTTCTGCATTATTATTTAGCACGACAGTCACGTGGATGTTGACGTCCGTGGACCGCTGGGTATGACGCCGCTGATGGTAGCCGCAGTGAGGGGAGGAGGTCTGGACACCGGCTCCGACGTAGAAGATGAACAGACAGCCCACATTATATCCGAACTAGTCGCTCAGGGCGCTCAGCTCAACGCGGCCATGGATAAGACCGGGGAAACGAGTCTGCATTTAGCCGCGAGGTGAGTTTTTGTTATTGTGTGTCACAGCTCACGATTGGACAGCCCAATCACCGTCCTCGTCATCCAAAGACAAACAATATTAATCTATTCTCAATTTGACCACAGAAATTAAACAAAAAAGTTTAAATGCGTGTGTATGTCAAATAGATGGCAGTGTGTAATGTTTTTTTATTAATTAATTTAAGGTATTTTAAAGCATAATGGGTACAAAGTTTTTGCTTCACGGTATTAATATATAGATATCATGTTCTATCCAGGTACGCTCTCCAAAAGTTTTTGCTTCATGTATTGATATATAGATATGATGTCCTATCCAGGTACGCCCGTGCGGACGCAGCCAAGCGCCTGCTGGACGCGGGCGCGGACGCCAACTCGCAGGACAACACCGGGCGGACCCCGCTGCACGCCGCCGTCGCCGCCGACGCGATGGGCGTCTTCCAGATCCTACTGCGGAATAGGGCCACCAACTTGAACGCTAGAATGCACGACGGAACCACGCCTCTGATTCTGGCAGCTCGGTAAGTGAATTTTTTAACTTTTGCGATTATTTATATTACAAATGATATTATTTAACGGGTTTTCACGACGATTATTTGCTTTACTGAGATTGTTTTGAGATTGACTGCTTTACTGCTCATCATGATCACGTATAGACCCTAATACTGGCCCGTGTTAAGAACCCGTTAAATTATAATAGTATTTATAAATTTAGTCAAATTTAAAAGAAGCAAAAATTTATAAATTGATATGCAAAAAATAATAAATTTTTGTTTGTTTTCAATTGCCAATTGTTGGATGAACCATTTTTTTTCTGAGAACAATGCGTGTAATGAAAAAAAAACAAAGTGATTTTTTTTTTTATTGCTTAGATGTGTGGACGAGCTCACAGCCCTCCTGGTGTTAAGTGGTTACTGGAGCCCATAGACATCTACAGCGTAAATGCGCCACACACCTTGAGATATAAGTTCTAAGATCGCAGTATAGTTACAGCGAAAATTCTTTTTTCAATCAGGCTTGCCATCGAGGGCATGGTGGAAGATCTAATCAACGCCGACGCGGATATAAATGCAGCAGACAACAGCGGCAAGACAGCCCTGCACTGGGCGGCGGCTGTCAATAACGTTGACGCTGTCAATGTACTACTCGCACACGGCGCCAATAGGGATGCGCAAGATGACAAGGTAAGTAATAAATCGAATAATATCGATGTACTGCTTAGAAATTATTTCGTTATAGATGTATCGCCCTATCTAAATAATACTCTCAATTAGTCATTAAGTCTTCATATCCAGAAATATTAGTTGCCAACTGAAAAAAAAATATAGATTTAGTAAAGGTCAAAGGTAAATAAAGATCTGATCTGACCTGAAAATGTTTAAAGATTAACAAAATACGCAAATCTCAAAGAAAACAAGCAGTAACAATTTGTTGTTATTAAAGCTTCATTATTGTGACATCATTTGCATCCAAACTAAACGACGACCTAACCACAGATTATATCAGTCGTCTATTATCAAAGGTGGCAATCTGTGCATTTGGACAAAAAAATGTTATTGATATGTCAATACAGATTGATTTGAATATAATCGTCTCCTTCAAAGAATACGGTTCAAAACCTGCATTAAATAAAGGTTAATAGTTAACCTGTTATTTATCTAAGATGTCGTTCCGAAGAGTTTTGTGACTGCCAATGGAATACAAAGTCAATAATTCGTTTTTCTGATTTACCAATAATTGTCCAAAAGTCACATTGCCGGCTTTGATAATAGTCGACTCATATAGAAAAATTTACTCCACATAACGTGAAGTGAGAATGATTAATAAAAAGCTAAAATTGAAAGATTTCATTTTGTGATTTAAAACGTAAATTATTAATATCTGTAAGTAAATACGCTAGTTACAATTTTCTACACCGTCCATTTTTGAAAAAAAGTATTGTAGTTTTGTTTTTCCTTAAAATATCACCATTCAAAATATCATTAATTTCATTTAAATACGTATAGTTATTGAAGTGCGTTTAACTGCTATCAATTCCTATCTTAACCTGTTTAAAAAACATCCGCCCTTAACACATTTTTATTCCCAGGACGAGACTCCACTATTCCTGGGAGCGAGGGAGGGCTCGTACGGCGCCTGCAGGGCTCTCCTCGACGCGATGGCGAACAGGGAGATCACCGACCACATGGACCGGCTGCCGAGGGACGTGGCACAGGAGCGGATGCATGACGACATCGTGAGGCTCCTCGACGAACACTGTCCGAGGCCGCCTCCGCAGCATCCGCATCTCATGAGTAAGTTCTGTCATTAACAATGATATAGGCTTCAGGAATAAATTTTTTTTCCTACCTAAGCTGAGAGCCTTGAGAGGCTATTTCAGCGTAGCCTTAACTAGTAGGTGAGCTCACGGGGCTCAAACCTGATAACCCTAGCAAGAGCCGTGCTTCGCAGAATCTACCACCGGATCGGAAACGCGACCCACTGAGAAGATCCGGCGAGAAACTCAGTGGGCTGTGTCTGAGGGTTGACGAGAACGATGACCAGAGGGAATAATCAGAATATCTTCAATATCGTTCTCCTGCCCTGCTCCCAGTCACCTGGGGTTGGCGCAAGATGTTTTCTCATTCCATAATCCTCTATTATATACCATTTCTTCGCTTAGTCCCCTTTTACACATATCGCCTTTCACGTAATCCATCAATTTCTTTTTCCTCTATATCCTTCCACATTCATAGTTAACACTCTCTTACCCACCTTATTTTCATTTCGTCTCATCACATATCCATACCATCCCAGTTATCAGTTAAATATTCGGTTATCGAATTGGCACATCCAAGGTATCAATAGAATAGCACTAAACGATTTTTGGGTGGATGTAAAAGCAATATTTTCATTCTTAATCCAACATAAAAATGTTTATAGTTTTAGCTATTCACATATTTAGAAAATGAATTTTGTATGAACTAAAAGCGTTAGAAACTAGAGCTTAAAGCTTCGATTTTTCGTTCGCAGCCTCGCCGAACCCGCATCACCAGCTGATAAGTCAGCCGACAGTGATCGCGTCTGCGGCTAAAGGCAAGCCCAAGAAGCCCAGAGCGAAGGCCGGCCCAGACAGTCCTCAGGATCAAGTTTACGACAACAATAATCTACAACAGACACAGATAAGACGGTACGCTAGAGAACCTAATACTGTATTACTAGCTAGTATTTATAGTGCCTAGTATTTATAGTTACCTAGTATTTATATTAGTAGTGATTTGAATAGACAACCCAAATTCCAGGTTGCCCTATTGTATGTGACAGAAAGGGTGAAATACTCCAGCCTAATATCACACTACCCCATTCGAAATACAACAGCCCTTAATTTCAGGGTAGGGTTCGTTGACGCTGTAAAGCTACCTATAATATTAGCGTTTGATTATGAATTATACAAATATTAATTATGACGAAAAACACTCAAAATACTCTTAATGACTAAATATCTATTTAGTTGGTTAGGGTAAAACATACAGTTCTTGACACTCATGCATCGATTTACGTTTTGAATTGCACCCATCAAATACATATTCAAATGTAAATACACGTTAATTATGATATTTTTTTTTGTGAACAGGAAACCAAGCGTAAAAAAGAGCAATAAAAAGATAGCGCAGGAAGTGCCGCAGAGCGTTGAGAGTCTCGGCTCCAGCCTCAGCCCAGTTGAATCGCCGCTCCAAAATTTACAGGTAACTAATATACAGACTGACCAGATCCGCACTACCCTCGACACCACAGTTCACGATGCTCTACACTCGGCGGCAGATAGAGGCAAATGGCGTGGAATGGTCCGTTATAAACTCTTGTTGCGAGGAGGTGGTGACGACCCTCAGTATTGAGGAAACCGAAGCAAGAAGAAGAAGAATATATATTCAGCCAACCTATCTATAAGCCAAACTTAAAGCAATTCAGAAGTTCATGGGCGACGGTAAACACTCGCCATCGGTTGGGCCGTATGCTCGTCTGCATGCAAGGGTAGTTAAAGAAAATATTCGAAAAAAAAATCAAGGCACGTGACGACCGAAATAGTTTTAAATCAATATAATAATCATGATTCAGTTTGATGATTCTCGTGAATTATTGTAGATAATTGTAATGTTTACCCTATGAGAAATATTTCAGGACTTGCCGTCGCCATACGACGCAACGTCACTGTACTCGAACACGATGGCGCAGTTCGTCGGCATGGAGCAGCTACTGCACCACAAGCAGCCGCCAAGCTATGAGGATTGCGTCAAGGTATACATCACTTTATTCTCTGAACATTAAAGTTTCTATTCGACTGATTTAATTCACAATTATCGATGAATTTATCAGGTAATGTACCTAGAGCGTGCTGACGAATTATTTCCACTTTTCTGTAGTGGTAGAGCTAGGGGTGATACAAACTAAGATCCGTGAGTCCGTACGGGTTGGTACCACCACCCCGCCTATTTCTGCCGTGAAGCTGTAATGCGTTTCGGTTTGAAGGGTGGGGCAGCTGTTATAACTATACTGAGACTTTAGAACTCATATCTCAAGGTGTGTGGCGGCATTTACGTTGTAGATGTCTATGGACTCCAGTAACCACTTAACACCAGGTGGGCTATGAGCTCGTTCACCCATCTATGCAATAAATAAAAAAAGCCGAATTCGAAGCCGACCGTTACGAAAGCACTGTACCAAATTCGATTTCAGGAAAAACTAGTGAACACAAATACATTTTAATAACAAGACATAATTTTAAAAAACAAACACCATCACAAATTACGCTTCTTCATTCTTACGTCACTTTGAATACAACACACATAATCCAAACAAACAATTACATTATTTATTTATTGCTTAGATGGGTGGACGAGCTCACAGCCCACCTGGTGTAAAGTGGTTACTGGAGCCCATGGACATCTACAACGTAAATGCGCCACCCACCTTGAGATATAAGTTCTAAGATCTCAGTATAGTTACAACGGCTGCCCCACCCTTCAAACAGAAACGGAATACTGCTTCACGGCAGAAATAGGCGGGGTGGTGGTACCTACCCGCGCGGACTCACAAGACGTCCTACCACCAGTAAAACCTTTAACCATCTAACTACTGAGTACGAGTTATTGTGTTAAAATTATTATGAACTAGCTGACCCGGCAGACTTCGTAATGCCTCAATCGATAAATAAAAGACATAAGCTTTTGTATAAAATAAACTTAAAACAAACAAAAGGAATCCGTCCGACGGGGGACACATCAAAGGAAAAACAAAAATTATTTAATTTCTAATATTTTACATAATAATATTTATTTACCTTTTAAACCTTCTCTGGACTTCCACAAATCATTTAAGACCAAAATTAGCCAAATTGGTCCAGCCGTTCTCGAGTTTTAGCGAGACTAACGAACAGCAATTCATTTATTTCATAAGTAGATATATAGATAATAAAGATGGGTGGACTGAAAAAAATAAAATAATAATATTTTGTATATGTGTCACAGACGGGTCAGACGCTGCAACAGTCGTACGGCGGCGGCGCGATGGGCGCGTCCTTGTCGCCGCCCTACTCCAACCACTCGCCCACACACAGCAACCAGACCACATCGCCGCACGCTTACATGGGTAACTATTCTTCTAGCGGCCGCCAAGCATCTCTAAAATTTAATTGATTTTATCGATATTCTTCGATCAATTCGTGTTTCTGTTCTTTTCTTGTTCGTCTCACAATTATGATATCGAGAGGTCAAAGATCATTTGGTTTAAGCGACATTTTGCTTAACACGTGACATTTAATTTTGTCTTTGTAAATTAAAGGTCCGTCTTATTTGATATTAGCGTCAACGGTTCGATGTTTCTAATTGAATTTCAATTAAGTTTCCCCCTTCAAATAGCCGAAGACGGTTTTTTGTTATCATGTAAAATGCAAAAATGCCGCTTAAACCAAATAGCCTGTTCCAACTTTTTTGCCCTACCTATTCGCTTGTAGCCTAAGAGGTTATTTCAGCTTCGCCTTGACATGTAGGTGAGCTCACGGGGCTCAAACCGGGAGTGTTGCTAATACTAGCCCTAGCAAGAGCCGTGCTTCGCAGAATCTACCACCGGATCGGAAACGCGACCCACTGAGAAGATCCGGCGAGAAACTCAGTGGGCTGTGTCTGTGGGTGTACCAAACTTATGACCGTCTCTGACATGTATATTAATAGCTCGTTATCCTCCAGGCTCGCCGTCGCCAGGAAAGTCGCGACCGTCGCTGCCGACGTCACCGGCGCACATGGCGGCGTTACGTCACTCGCACCAGCACCAGCTGGACGCGTACTCAGCACTCGCACATCTGAGTGAGTAATTTCTTTTCCATTTTTTTTATTACTTATAAGGGTGGACGAGCTCACAGCCGCCTGGTGTTAACTGGTTACTGAAGCCTATAGACATCTACAACGTAAATGCGCCACCCACTTTGAGATATAAGTTCTAAGGTCTCAGGTATAGTTACAAAGGCTGTCCCGCCCTTCAAACTGAAACGCATTACTGCTTCACGGCAAAAATAGGAAGTGCGGTGGTACCTACCCGCGCGGATCACGAGAAGTCTTACCAGCAGTAATTACGCAAATTATGTTTTTTTCGGGTTTGATTTTTATTACACGATGTTTTATTCCTTCACTGTGGAAGTCAATCGTGAACATTTGTTAAGTACGTATTCCATTTGAAAAATTGGTACCCGCTTGAGATTCGAACACCGGAGGTCCTATCTAATGAAGCTGAACAGGTTTCATCCAAATAATCCCGATCCAAAAAAAAAAATCTTACTTCAAAAAGCTATTTACATATTTATGGTTCATTAAATGTGGTTGTCAGGCGCGAGCAGTCAGCACAACGCGCAGCTGCAGGCGGTGATGACGCACGCGGCCGCACTGGGCCAGGTCCAAGGGGCGCAGCATCCGGCTCTCACCAATCTTATGTCGGGTAAGTATACTAGACCCAATAATCCATATTTAAGCTTATTTGTAGAGCCATCGTCCGAATGTTCTCAAATCTTGACAAATTATTTGATACTTAATGGGTCGTCTTTGTTATAACTTATAGAGCGTTGTTTATGTTAACTATAAATTATTTTTTTACTGTCTTAAAAGCGTAGATCGACTGTCTCATAAAGACATCGACAGTGTTAAAAACCGGACTAAGCATGAAAAGTATGTATTTGTATATATATAGGTACTATATAAAAAAAAAGAACTTGGAAAAATCACGCCCGAACATTCGGTCCTAAATTAGGATTACCGGTGTTATGAGTACCCGATATTAACATACATACTTATATACGCTCAAATATATACATATATAGATAATAAACACCCGAAGATAGAGCGAACCAACCGGTTCATCATCATGTTTGTCTGATGTAGGAATCGAACCCAAGAACCGAAGTCCAGAGCGCTATTCTATTGCATCACCGATCACGTCGTTTCGGATCCACTAACCGTTCTCGTCGAACCCGTCGCTTGCGAAGAAGGGCTCGACGAGTAAATTAACCCACAGATACAGCCCACTGAGTTTCTCGCCGAATCTTCTCAGTGGGTCCCGTTTCCACGGCTCTGGTTTCGTGTTAGCAACGTTTTTTTTTTTTTTTTTTTTTTTTATTGCCTTTGTAGGCAGACGGGCATACGGCCCACCTGATTACTATAATAGGTAGAAAATTATGTATGTCATATATACACATATGTTTAAGTAATATCACTATCACACTACACCTACCAAGGTTCATCTTTGCACCCCCCTAAGGTAGACTGTTAGAGAATGCCTATGGCATTAAGTCCGCCTTTATACTGTCTAGTATATAAAGTTATAAATAAATAAAAATAGCATCACCGAGTCTCTAAATTGCAGATTAATTATTGTGAATTTTGTAGTGTAATTTTTAATTAAATAGTATACCTTTCTCGCTCTCCAGGCTTGTACAGTTGGCACACCGGTATGGGTGACACGTTTCCGACGCCGTCTCCCGAGTCCCCGGACCACTGGTCGACCCCCTCCCCGCAGACACCCCTCACGCAGTCCCCGCACTCCGACTGGTCCGACCGCGCCGCCCTCTCGCCCAACGACATCCAACAAACGAACAAAGGCGCCGAAGGCATATACATTTAGTACGGTAGATCAGTGTTTACCGATTCGACTTTCTCGAAAAACGCTTTAAAGCGCTTTAAAGCTGCAATGTATAACAAAGTTAATGACGAAACCAACAATTTACGGTGTACACGGTAGATAAGGCATATACATTTAGTACGGTAGATAAATACTTACCGATTCGACTTTCCCGAAAAACGCTTTAAAGCTGCAATGTATAACAAAGTTAATAACGAAACCGACAATTTAAGGTTTACACGTTAAATAGTAGTAAAAGTGGGCGGATTATTATACAGATAAACTATTCCGGTAGACCATTTATACTGGGTGTTAGGAGACCGCTTCCGAAAACAAAAATTTTGTATCTACAAAGTTGTAAATTTTGGGGAGCGCGGTATATCAGCGTCGGTGTGCGTGTAAAAGAAACGCTGCGCCCGGGCGTTCGTTGATCCGAGGATCAGCTGTTTTTGGTTTTGTGTTTCATTGCTGGTTTTTTTTTTAAATAAATTAATGTTTTTTTTATGAAACTATAGTTTCATTTATCTGTACTAAAATGATGGAACGTAAATAATGCTAATAAAACGTTTTAAAAATATGTTTTTTTTTTAAATCAGTAATCAAAGGTGTCTTTAGTACTATCATCTGTCTTCGTTTTCGGAAGCGGTCTCCTAACACCCAGTATATAGATATATATATATCGAAAGAGCCTTTTATGAAAAAATCTTCTTAGAGAAAAATTAAATTCCGAATTCATTCCATACATTTGAAATGATATGGCTAATTCATAAGGTTTTGTTTATAAAATTTATAGTAAATAACATTGTATCATTCGAAAGATCGTGTACGCCTTCAGTAGGCCTTCAAACGTCAAGCGATCTGCTAAAACTGCGGTAAACTCATTAATGGTGCTTCACGAAACACCGTTTGTAAATAGGCTCTAAGTATCGAGCGTTAGAACTCATTTTAGATTGTGAAGATAAAGAGAGAGAGAGGTAATATCTGCTGACCCATTCTAGCGTAGTAGCGTCAGCAGCAAAGAGAAAAGACATCGGTTTTTTTTTATATACATATTTTTAAATCGTAAAATGTAATATAATGTTACGCACCTTTTGTTATAGTCTCGGGTGTTTAGTTTCGGAAGGTGCTAAGTGCCGTAGCTATAGACTGAAATGTACAGCCATGACTTCGATGTAAATTAATAATATTTTAAGGCACGTATCGACGCACTAAGAAAAAAACGTTTAATCTCATTGTGACAAGAACTTCGGTGCGACAAGAAACATAATATTAATTATGAAATCTCTAAATATATTTTAATTCTTCGAAAAATAATTAATATCAAAATCATATTATAATTTATTGTCTTAAATGCGTGTTTATGCACCGAATCGTTTTTTTTTTTTTAATTATTATTATATAATAATGTTGCGTTGTTGAATTTTTCTATTGATTTGTTTAAAACTGTGTTTTAGGTAATGCTAATGGTAAATGAGTCGCTTATGAGATTGCTTTCGGTACGGTCGGCATACAAAAATCTATTACACCTAATACGCATTATATTATATACAATAAGCATTATTTTTTTGTTGACAATTACGACTAGAGCCGCGTCCCGTATCGATTTTGATGATTCAAACTTAAATGAACGCTAAATTTTCAGTTTCAAATGTTTTAAAAATCAATGGAATCTGTCTTCGAGTAAAATGCGTTTATTTTAATGTCAGTTTTGAATTTAGGTTATATCCGTGATGATCACCAACCGTATATTAAAATAAACAGTTTACCATCTGTGATAGTACATAAATGTGGGAAAATGAAACATTCTCTGAACTTGGTATCTCGGGTTGTTGCAAAATCAGAACTTAAGTATCTATAAATAACCACCATTTTATTGAGATTTTATTTCATCTCATCTCAACTAGTTTAATTTAGCTTCATCCGAATTGATTACAGTCTCAAATTAATCAACTTCACCTCACTTTATCCATATATTTTTTTCACTCCATATTATTTTTCATGTAACAGAGTATATAAATGACTAGGCTGTATAGTATGATATCTTGGCCTTTCCCGTAGAAACTACAATTTGAAATAAACCGTACTTTATCATTTATGCCATGCATCTAATAGCATGGTTATGACAATTCCATGAGATTTTTTCTTCATTCATCTTTTTCTTCATCACGAACGAAGTGGACTTATTTGTATAACTCTCTATACTGTCGACCGTACCGGCGTGAATAGAAATTATTTATGTGTGATTCTGTAGCAGATAAAAGTTTTTTTTTTTTTTTGTAATCTACTGTAGTATAATTTAAAATAGATACTTTTCTCTTATAATTTATTTCTGAGTCAAAACTTTCTTATAAGACATATCATTGTTTTAGAATTTGACGATTTTTTTTGTGTGTTAATTCTGATGTTGCTTTCGTTAGAATTGCCAGAATGAATTGAGCAGTCGACTTTTTTTTTTTTACTCTAAATATTTTTTTGGCTCAGATATAAATTGATAAGCTACATTTCAAATTGATATTATAGAGATTGTTGCCTGTATTCGCGTGTCCTCCAAATTATGTTTCAATTTATCTTGTTAATTATCTAGCAGGCAGCAGTCTCGTGTGGATTTTTAATTTAATTAAGACATATCTTCCGCTTACGACCATTCCAAAACTGCTTCCAATTTTGTACCTCATAATTGAAAAAAATATATTCTTATTTTAAATTTTTACGTATTGCGGCTATAATTAGCTGTGACGCAGCCGTATTATTATAACTCGCGCCAAAATTCCTGTCATTATTACAAGTATTATTGTTACGCGGTAAAATATGACTTAAGTTTTTTTTTTTTTCCATATATTAGACGCAAAAGAATTTTGAAGTTTAATTCAGTAGAATATGATGCTCTTGATCCGACCATGTTGTGAGTATTATCAGGAATCAATTTTATTGTTATCAGCATTCCTTATAACAGCGGCCATGTTTTCATCGGCGTACGTGAAAAATAAATAGTATTTTTTTTGTCCTTTTTAAATTATGAGGTAAATATTCCATTATCGATATAGTTAATCATGTTAAGATCTCAGCATTCCTTGACTCGCTTTAAAAAATAATAATATTAAATTTAAAAAAAGTTAAACGTTACTCGGGACTTGCATGCTCAATTTTTTTTTGTTACTGTTATACTCGGTCCATACTCTGTATATTTTAAAAATAAGTATAAAATTATAATAATAATAAGTGAGTTTGTAAAACTTCTGCCGTTAGCTAAATGCCTACATTATTTTGTAAATACATACTTTTAAATTATAATTATTAAGATTTTAGCTTTCCATTGTATTTAAATAAGGAAATGATCTTCGTTAGTTTTTACGTTAATCTTATTGTAAGACTTGACCAATAATTAATGTTGTTGACATAAATAAAACTCAATTAATTTTGAAAAAAAAAAAAAATACAAAATGTCGTTACTCGAAGAATCAAAATGGCGGACGATGTCAGCTGACTAATTTCTTAAAACAATTTTTTTATGATAAAAAATCTCTTATGTTCATAGAGCCTAGTAAAACATGTTATGGTCAAGTCAAATTAATTACTTGTGTCATGAAATGCAATTGGAAGAATTAAGAGATAAATAAATGTATTGAATGCAATTTCGTCAGAATTTAAATGTTTTCTTTTGTAAGTGATATTTTTGTATAATTCTTGGTGATTAAGATTTTAGAAGGTCAACTTTATAGACACGCGAGCTTCCTGTTTTAGTCTCGTGTCTTAAGCAATTGATATTAAATGAATTTTAAGTACAATGTATTGAAATACTAAAATGAACTTTCTCGGACAGTAATAACGATTATTTTCGCATCTCGAACATGTGTTTGTAAGTCAATATGAAAGGGCACACTAAAATTGATATTTTTTTTTTGTGAAAAAATGTGCGTGCCTTTAAACAAATATTACGTAAGATTTAATGAAATTTGTAATTTAAAAGACATAGGACGGCTTAGAGAAACTGTCTAGCTTGTAAGTTTTTGTAAATACTTTTTTTTATTACTATATTAATTAAATGCATTTCTTTGTAAGAATAATATTTTTGGGGAGAATATTTTTTTAAATATTTTCCCGATATCTGACAATAAAGGAATAAATAAAAGCAATCTGTTTTTTGTTTCTTTCACCTTTCTTCATACCATAGCCTAAGTGATACATCAATAAATGTTGCGTAATTAAATAGTTGAATTATTTTGAATGTTTGTCAAAACAGATAACATAATAATACCTATTTTTAAAAAGGTAATACGAACCTATACAAGGCTCGACCTGTTATAGCACCGCCTGGACGAAACCACAAGATCGAAAAACGATATTCCAATTTTAATGAAAGAACGGCTCCTTTAACAGTCGCGACATATAGAACCAATAAATATTAGCTCTTTCAATTGCCGTTTAGTATACAGAAAGTTAGTCATTCTTTTTATTTCTATCAATCAAAATATAAACCCATATTTTGCACTCATATACCGATACACACTCATACATCTCTGTCAGCGTAGTGGCAATTTTTCAATACTTCAAACAAACTCTTCCAATGCATTTTGTACTGAGTTTCGGCTATTGAATTTTTCTTGACATCTGGTCGATATGGTGGATGACGCAAAACCTTCAAGTCTAGCTATTGGAGCTTAGAGACCGTCTGTTGCTGTGAGACCATACTTTTTTTTTATTGCTTAAATGGGTGGAAGAGCTCACAGCCCACCTGGTGTTAAGCGGTTACTGGAGCCCATAGACATCTACAACGCAAATACGCCATCCACCTTGAGATATAAGTTCTAAGGTCTCGAGTATAGTTACAACGGCTGCCCCATCCTTCAAACCGAAACGCATTACTTCTTCACGGCAGAAATAGGCAGGGTGGTGGTACCTACCCACGCGAGCTCAAGAGGTCCTACCACCAGTACCACCAGTACATTATAAGTTGAGCGGTGTCGTATAGGAACAAGTGGGGACGCGCGAATAACCAAAGCTAACTGGAGATTCGCGAGCATCTACATCATTATGTCCTGTTCCTTACAGTACATATATGACAATAATGCCATAGGTGCCATCTGCGTAGCAGCTGTATTTACTCCGGCAATAGACCACGAAACAGTGATCATAATTTTTATTATTCACTAACTGACCCGGCAGACTTCATAGTGCCTCAATCGATAAATAGAATACCTAAACTTTTGTATAAAATAAACTTAAAACAAACAAAAGGAATCCGTCCGGCGGAGGACACATCAAAGGGAAAACAAAATTTATTTAATTCCGAGCATTTTCATACTTATCTACCTTTTAAACCTTTTCTGGACTTCCACAGATAATTCAAGACCAAAATTAACCAAATCGGTCCAGCCGTTCTCGAGTTTTAGCGAGACTAACGAACAGCAATTCATTTTTATATATAGAGATTATTCATCGCAAGTGAAGAGGAAGAGGTAAACCTAAGAAGAAATCAATGGATTACCTGAAAGACGGTATGTGTGAGAGGGGAGTGAGCGAAGCAACGACAATGGATAGAATACGGAAAGTGGCACCTGTCACAGAGAAGTTGAGAAGTGCGCGTTTGGGATGGTATGGACACGTGATGAGACGAAATGAAAAGGACTGACAGAGTGTTAACTATGAATGTGGAAGGATATAGAAGAAGAGGTAGACCTAAGAAAAAATGGATGGATTGCTTGAAAGACGATTTTTTTATTACTTAGATGTGTGGACGAGCTCACAGCCCACCTGATGTTAAGTGGTTACTGGAGCCCATAGACATCTACAACGCAAATGCGCCTCCCACCTCTAGATATAAGTTCTAAGGTCTCAAGTATAGTTGCAACGGCTGCCCCACCCTTCAAACCGAAACGCATTACTGCTTCAGTGCTGAAATAGGCAGGGTGGTGGTACGTACCCGCGCGGACTCACAAGAGTCCTACCACCAGTATGTGTAAGAGAGGAGTGAGCGAAGAAATGGTATATGATGGAGGAGTATGGATGGAGGAAACATGTTGCGCCGACCCCAGGTGACTGGGAGAAGAGCAGGAGAATGATGATATTCATCGCAGGTGATATACGGTTCAAAATCCCTTTATTTGTGTTTCTGTGATGCAACCTTAACGCGTTCGTCGCGCTGGCGACCACTTATCAAGTTTATTTATGTTGCCAATTTGACGAAAATGGACCAATATTGTTTTAATGCTAATTTTGAAAGCTGCTGCTAACTCCGCGGTAGATTGAATATCGTCAGCTTTCAATATAGCCTTTAATTCGTCGTTGTTATTCAGAACCATAGATAAATTTCTGTGTTTACCCGCAATAAATATATATTTTCCATGCGACATCATAACATTGTTTTGTGCGAGAATATTTATTGTGTTTTAAATAAATTTACGGATAATTACAATTTCTATTCGTTATTTTATTTAATGTGATAGTAGAATTTGGTGTTTCGATATATTTACCTTCTGAAGTTTCAATGGTGGCTACGTGGATAAATCGTAAGTAAAAAACCAAGCGGATTTTTCATTGTTAATATATTAGTAATTACTTAAATCATAATATCGATATGTCTACAAGAGGTATCTGGGACCATAAAAACTGCAAAGTATTCTCAAGTTTGGATGTAAAAAATTTAAAATTGTAGACGCATAATCAAACTGTAACAGTATTTTTGATCAGTCTAAAATCTCTAACAATCAATCACGTAACACTTAATCAAATACAATACAAACTCAAATAATTTCAAATTATTTTCGAGAGGAGCTACGAATGATTAAATAATCGGGACAGGACGGGGCTGCGCTTGAAAACGGCTCGGCCGTTTTGAGTGATTTCTTATTCGTTTTATTCGTAATTGTCAAAATGAGATTAGTACTAAAGGGCGTTTTTTTGCAAAATTTACACAATAATTTTCATACAATTAGATTTAGTCACAACAGATCGTGACTGGGTTTCACTAGTTTGCAATAATTGGCATACGGATAGCGCAAATAATGACAGTTAAATTGTTTATAGCACGTTAGCATTTTTTTACTTCTTTTGTACTCAATGTATGAACGAAGTCATGGCCTCCTTGATCGGTGTAATATTCCAGAAAATGCAAAGTGTGTTGACGCTCCACCCTCGCGGTGACATGACGAGCTCGTGGTGGGCGGCTGCGGCAGCTATGGCCGCGGTGACTTTCTTCACGGTCGGTGGGAACGCTGCTGTGCTGGTGGCGCTGAAGAGAGTTAATCGCGCCCCAGCACACTATCCCTTGGCGAGCTTAGCGACCGCAGACTTGCTTCTCGGTCTACTAGTGCTGCCAATAGCAGCCGCCAGGGAATTGTTCGTCTTTCATTTGAGTAAGTTTTTTTTTAAATCTGTACATACCTCAAGCACGAAAACCTTCGAAATCGTAATGTAAATGTATCGAGTCGTCGAAACGTGTTAGTGCGAGTTTTTTAACGTTCTCGATAACGTAAAAGTTAACTGAAATTTCTATGTAGTTGGTACGTTTGCGTACGTCTGCGCTAGGGTCGTTGTTCCACTGCAAACAAATTTGAGCTACCTAACTTTTACGCTATCGAGAACGTTTAAAAACTCACACTAAGCATACGGATCATTACATTATGTTATGGATGGTAGTAATCGATAGCCAGCCTTCGAGATTTACCTTACCGTATGTCAAAACAATTTTCGTGCTCTCGATTATGAGCATAAGTCTCGAGTTTCGGGAACGTGACGAATTGAATGCGAAACCAAAGTAAATTCATTCGTGCTGCCAAAATTAATTCTTTTTACGGACGGTAGGGGCGCTGTTTAAATCCTATATATTTTTTCTCGATACCGATACGAATACTTTTTCGATTGTCATTCGTGCTCGCCCCCTCTGAGGGCAATGACACACTGCTCTTGAAGAAGCGGCTATATTAATTATAATATATTCTATATTATCGATTCTGATCTAAATTGAAATTAATGTATACAGGCTGTCTGGTTGAACACTTTACATAGGTACTCAAGGACATGATAATTCATGGTCACATGTAACGCTTAGAAACATAAAATTAAAAAAATACAAATGAACTACAAAGAAAACCTTCATTAAATTAATTGACTAAGACTCGAAATTTGTGGCCACCACAGTGCTGAGACGCCGCCCGGCGGGTGAGAACCACGGAATAGATAAATAAGGTTGGAATGGTAATGTAGGCGGGGCAAGCGTGCCACTGTTATGATAGTACAAACATAACTCGACCGATTCTTGCATTCACCGCTTTTAGTGCGCTTCGGACTACTTGGCGAACAGATCTCCGCTTTATAGTGCCGTGTTGTGCAATTATAACTTGTAAAACAAAAAATCAGACCTCAAGTATAGAGCGAGGAGGTATATCTTTCGATCGGTAAGTCGAAATTACCATTTAATTACAATATTATTTGTCTAAAACATAAAAATATACTGAGCATTATGAAATTCCAAACATTAACAATATTATTGCAGCAAGTTATAAATAGCATACATTGCGCGATGTGTACTCGCCCAATGAACGCAATGACCAAGTCAGCTTCCAATGTACTACATGCATTGCGTTCTCTACACTTCAATCTTTGAAATTTCGGCCTTTGCCCTGATTGGCCGTGGTGCACGGCGCTAGTTTGTCGATAGTGAGGTGACCATGTGGTGAAATAAAATCATCGACAGAATTCTCGACTATATTTACATTTGACATGGATAATTTTTGCATTATTTTATATTTAATTAATGATACCTAGTATATTCTTAGTGAGACGTATTTTGAGTAAAATAAATATGTATTATTATTATTGAATTATTATCATTGAATTAAAGTGAAGGTATAATATAAAGGGACATGTAGACCTCTCATTTACGGGTATTTACTATATTGTCTAAGACGTATTAAAATCTAAGTAAAATGCTATTTGACTTATGCAGTAAATTAAAAATTTTAGGTTTCCTAAAGAACCTAACGCCAGGGAACAATGGATTGACGTGACAGGTAGAGGAAACTGGAGACAAAGACGAGTACTATTTGCTCTAAACATTTTACTGAAAATGATTTTATCATAAAAAAAATCAGAATACACTTAGTTTTGAAAAATTCATTCGCAATTAATAGCAAGCGCCAACTGCTTAACAAATACGTTTTATTCCAGCGACAGTGACTATTTGTAATTAATAAAAGTAAAATAGTTTTTTTTTTCAATATTTATTTCATGTTTCATTTTCTCCATTCATTCATCAGATAATTTATCGATAAAGAATATCGATTTTATCAAGCACTAGCGTGTATGAACATTTTTATTGCCTTTTTGCGTGTGTGAGTGTGTATGCCTACGGGTGTTTTGTGCTAGTTTGCGAACGAATATCTGTCCTGAGATTTATGTGTGGGTGTTTTTGTTGTGTGCGAAATACTTGTAATCACAGTGTGTGTATGTGTAGAAATTAAAATAGTGGGGATGAAGCGGCGACACTGGTTCTAATACAAAATTAGAGCAAAGGCCTTTCCAACCTTATTTATCTATTCCGTGGTGAGAACCAATCAGCGCGCCGCGTTCGAACGACGCCGCCATCGTCGACCGTGTAAGCAAGCAAATTCTGTAACGACACGCGCGCGGTGCGAGTGATCACGCTTATTGGTTTGTGTGGATAATTAAAGATAAATTAGGCAAATATTTTAGGTGCCTATTTTTTTGCTTATTTAGAACGAGAATCGACTACTGAGCACTCTATATTGGTATATGTCAAGTGTTCAACCAGTCAGTCTGTATATTTATAATCGGTAAAATAAATAGACAATTTCCCTACAGACTGGGCAATATGTTCCTGTTGGAGCACCTTGGATGTCCTATGCTGCACCGCCTCTATCCTCTCCATCTGCACCCTAGGGTGGGAGAGATTCTGCGGCATCACCGCTCCGTTAGCTCGTGCACAGAGAGCAAAGACCGCTAGACTCTTGGCTGCACTGATCTGGCCCGTGGCGACAACAATCGCTATACCGACTGCCTTCATTCCTTCGCCGAAGCATTTTCTACCTGGAGAAATAGCTAAGGCTTGTACTGTTAACACTAATTCTAGGTAGGCTAGCTATTATATTTCATATATATTGTCTTCATGATTATTTTTAAGCACGCCCCTATATCTATAAATAAAATGCTTTTCGTTTCATTTGGTTTACAAAGAAATGGGCGACGATATTTATCAAGAAATATCCACTAGGGCCTCATTCCCACGTGACCTTTTTTGGCGGGCGTTAAAAAAGTGTTCAAATAGAACAGATGCATTTCCTATGTGTATGTTTATACGTGAACGCGTTTATAACGCGACGTCTTACTAAAGTGAAAAACGAAATAAGAGTGATTTTAAAACGTTCGTATGAATACTCACATCGAGAACGTTATAAAAGCGCCAACGCCGAGTTTTAACGCAACGTTTTTAAAACGCCCGTGCGAATGAGGCCTAACGGCCATATATTTTATGTAGTATTTTAAATATTCATCTTCTTTTCAGAAAGCAATTCATAATTTATTTTTTTTTAAAATATTGATTAACAATGCACATTCAGCATGCATCGCGTTAGGTATTTCTGCTGTTTTTGTTGCCGGAAACAACTGTTATAATAATTGGATCCTCAATGTGCTTATTGCGAGTTTTTTAACGTTCTCGACAGCGTAAAAGTTAGCTTATATTTGTATGGAATGGGATCGTTTGCGTACGTTCCGGTCATCGTTCTCGTCGAACCCGAGCGAAGGGCTCGACGAGTGAATTAACCCTCAGACACAGCCCACTGAGTTTCTCGCTGGATCTTCTCAGTGGGTCGCGTTTCCGATTCGGTGGGAGATTCTGCGACGCACGGCTCTTTCTAGGGTTCGTGTTAGCAACGTCATCAGACTTGAGCCCCGTGAGCTAAGGCGACGCTGATATAGCCTCTCAAGGCTATCAGCTTAGGTAGGGAAAAAAACTCGTACGTTTGCCACAAGGGGCGCTGTTCTAACTGCATACTAAATTGGCTAACTTTTACGCTATCGAGAACGTTAAGAAACTCGCACTAAGCACACTGAACAAATATTGTTTCTTTTTTTTTTAATATTTTTTGGCCCCAGCAACGATACTTTTAAGCCAAGTCACATTTCTTATGTTCCGTTACATGAAAAATGAAGCGAAATGAAATGAAGTTGATGATTGAATTGGAATGGAATTAAAGGAAACGAAAATGATTTTATAATGAAATAAAACATTTTTTATTCCAGTTACGTATTCGTCAGTATTTTCTTTTCGTTTTATCTTCCCGCAAGTGTGATGGTTGTTCTTTATGCCCGGATACTGCGAGCTCTGGCGGCACCGCCCTCAATCAGGTTCCATCGTGGCCAGGTCACAAACAATGTTGAAAAAGTAAGTGTTTTAATTGTGTGTATATTAAATTAAAAAATATTTTAAGTTTTCTTATCGGTAGCGTCTATGGTTTTGTCGGAATCCCGGACGGACGGACTTAGCTAAGCCTTAAAGACTTAGCCGCCCTAGCAAAAGAGGGCTTCTTTTAATCTACTACCGGATCGAACCGCGATCCACTGAGAAGATACGGCGAGAAACAGAGAGGGTTGTCTGTGGGTCGATATAAAAACCAAAACATTAACACAAATTGAGTCGCGAATTCAAAAAATCCGTGTGTTTTGTAGAACTAATGTCGGTATTTGGCATAAGTAACATTCACGGCCCAGAGGTAGCATGATACTATGACTGCCGCTACCCACCTTGAGACATGAGGCCAAAGTCTCAAGTGTACTATTTATTCATACGCCTATTCAACCGGTTTCAAACTGCTACGCATAATTGACATGTGGAAGAAAGAGGCAGGGTGGTACTGGTAATCACTCAGTTAAATAAATTTTGTCAGATGGTGACTTAAAAATATTATGTTATAATTTATAAAAATGTTATAATCATAAACATGATAAAATCGTAATGATTTTAGGTCATCCCCGATGCTGTCGTGGTAAATGTGGACAGCGTTACTCCTGCAGATGAATCACAAGAGAATCATAAAGTACCCAAGAGCATAGTGTGAGTTGTATTAATAGTTACTGGAAGTCGTCGTGGCCTAATGGATAAGACTTCTGGCGCATTCGTATCGAGCTGTTTGAAGCAGCAGCGACCAACTTTTCTAATCAACACGTCATGTTCACGAATAACTTGCATGATGAAGCAATAATATCGCACCCCGCAAAAACTATAATTTGCATAATTTCCGGTGGTTAGGTATCTCGTGAGCCCGCACGGGTAGAATAATATTTATTTGTTAATTTTCAAGGGTACCACCTTCTCCAAAAACCGGCCATTTCATGATACCCTCGTCGGAAACGGTACGTGCCATAACTTCTCCTTTAAAGAGACTCAAATTTCCGTAAGTATCATTTAGCTTATTTTATTAACAAAGAACACTTTATACATACTAGAGATTACAATATAATATCACATTATCACGATAAAACATCATTAAGATAAACTTATGATAGCCTTTAATCAAAGACACGTAGTATATTGACAGTTCTCCGAATCAAAATCACATAAAAGAATTATTGCAAAGTATTTCACAATACACCGTTTTATAGATACCAGTATTTGTTATGTTATTATCTGTTACAGAGGCGTCGAATTTTTAAATAAATAAAGAAAATAGCATATCGACAATTAAGAATTAAATGCCTGAACTAAATGTCCTAGTCTACTAACTAGGGTTTGATGATACAACGTCATCGTAATTGCAAAAACAACTTTTTACAATTTATAGTGTTATGATGGCCATTTATGGCCGGTACAGGGGCGCTGATGAAGTGATTGCCTAGGGCGCTCTGGACTTTTAATCCGCCACTGATCTACTGATCTGTTATGCACTAGTATCCACCCTGTACATATCACTATATAATACTATACTAGGTTGTACATATTTGAATTTTGGTTCGCTGTTCGCTTGTAACGTTTGACCCACTTCGCATATTTCGTTCAGTTTTCGAAATTACTTCTACTGATATACGATCTGGACCACCTTTGGGCGTAGCTGAAATAGCCCCTTAGGCTACCAGAGAATAGGTAGGGAAAAAAGCAACATTGTCGCAGGTCAGGGCGCGACATCATACGGCGGATTTGTCATGGACCGAACAATACCTACCCATTTATAGAATACGCTCCCCCGTAATCGAACGCAGTCGTACTTCCACTGTGCTTAGTGCGAGTGTTTTAACATTCTCGATAGCGTAAAAGTTAACTCAAGTTTGTATGGAATTATAACGTTTGTCTACGTTTGCCGCTAAGGGCGCTGTTCCAACTTCAAACAAATTTGAGTTATCTTTTACGGTATCGAGAACATTAAAAAAACTCGTACTAAACCACACAGGAGTGTTCGTGCAATACTGTTGCACCCACTTCAGATCAGATCGACCATTAGACCCATCAGCGAACCTGTCCAGGCATAATAAAGCCATTTATTTGCAAGGTCTTGTTATTCTGTTTGTTGTTCTTAGGGTCGCGGGTATAATATCGCGCCAACGTCGTGCCACCCGGACCATCGTGATGCTGATGTCACTGTTCCTACTGTGCTGGACGCCGTTCTTCGTGATGCTTCCCGTAGGTGCGTACGGTCAACAGCTGAGAGATTTGTGTAATTTAGAGAGATTTTTCCCTCAGATAAGAGGATAGTTCCCCACCGACATGTTTCCGGAGCGCTATGACATGTCCTTTTTAAAAGGATATTGGAGGAACGTCCTCGGCGGCAGTGATCTGGCTGTGCCTTGGTATTGCTGATCTCCATCCAGGTTTACGTATACAGTTTCGTTGGCTCCGAGAAGTACAGTGGGGAACTATTTAAGAAGCTTCCACTAACTACATTTTACTATTGCACATTAAGACACCAAAACCAAGATCTATCGCTATTATATTAAGATTATTATTATATAAAGATTATATCGCGCTTCGACAAATATTAGTGCGATTATATCAGGCCCCGGAAGTAGGACGTCTTGGGATTCCGCATGGCTAGGTACCACCACCCTGCCATTTCCGCCGTGAATCCATAATGGGTTTAAGTTTGAAAGGCGGGGCAGTAGTTGTACTGTTAAAACTGAGAGTTTAGAACTCTTGTTTTGTGATCGCGGCATTCACGGTGTATATGTCTGCGGGCTTCTTTAACCTTTTAACACCAGGTGGAACGTGGACTCGTCCATCGATCTCAGCAATAAAATTAATAAAAAAGTTGCGCATTAAGTTATGAACAAGGGAAATTCGTTTGGTTCCAGATTCTATATGCGAGTGCGTCAGAGATGCCGCGTGGTTGTGGTGCACTTGGCTTGGGTACACGAACTCGGCTCTCAATCCGCTGGTCTACGCGGCCTCCTCCCCGGCGGTCAGTCGGGCCCTCCACGCCTCCCTCACCACCACTACATGCACCAGAACTACGGATGTTACTCGTACTCCTTTACCGAGAAGTAAGTTATTCAATGATTGGATTATTTATGCATAGATGTGCGGACGAGCTCACAGTCCACCTGTTGTTAAGTGGTTACCAGAGCCCATAGACATCCAGTGATATGAATTCTAAGGTCTTAGTATAGTTACAACGAATGCCTCACCATTCAAACTGAAACGCGTTACTGTTTCAAGAAATAGGCAGGGTGGGTAGTACCTGCGAACTCAGACATCCTGCCACCAATAATTACGCAAATTATAATTTTGCTGGTTTGATTTTTTCATTACACGTTGTTATTCCTGCACCGTGGAACTCAATCGTGTATATTTAGACATTTCATTAGAAAATTTTGTACCCGCCTAGCGCCGCGCCTGCGGGATTCGAACACTGTTGCATCGTTAGATACGAATGCATCAGACGTCTTATCCTTTAGGCCACGACGACTTCATGTAACTGATCTTTCTTTTAATTGCTTACTTCAATGTCTTGACACTTGGTGTCAAAAGTGCCTAGAGCCTATAGACATCAACTATGTGAATGCGGCTTTGAAAATGCGGGTTGTCCCACCCTTCAAGTCGGAAAACATTACTACTTCGCGGTAGAAATAGACTACTAACCAGGTAATGGAAACTACCCGTGCCGTTTCATGAAACATCCCACCAACAGTAATAAAAATTATTACTGTTTGTATTACTATTTTTACCGCGAAACAGCCTATCGTTCAAATGTGAAGTATGAGCCCATACAACTGGAACATCAAGCTCACGTCTGTCTGTCATTCTGACAGCGAAAGGATTAATGTATTCGGAACCTTAGCTTAAAAATATTGTATTAAGTATGACAATAAAAATCGCGAGGTTAAACCTTATAAGTGGTTTCAATTTTAGTTTTAATTCCTAAGACTCGCGAATTCCGAACTAATTATGTACTATAATTTCTGTTTACGAGTGATTTTAACCTTAACGTTATTAAAATACTTATCTCTGTTTAGAATAGTTTATTGTATTCTATTTACATTTTTTATAACGTTTTGTGTACACTTCTTTGGCATAAACACTACTCATACGAACAAAATAAATAATATATGAATACTAGATATTTAAAAAAAAATTGCACTCACAAAATACTGTTTCTGAAATAAAAGCCTAAAACTTAGATTTATACAACAACCAACAATTTATATACAAATCTTTATATAAACTACCAACATATTTAACAACTTAACAATTAACTTGTGCATAAATATAATATTATTTAATTTAAATGAAAATCTACACAATTCTCAAACTTATTTGCCACGGGAAAAGGCACAAAGATCTGTAAATATTACATTTAATTTTATAACATTAAGTAGATATGTATATTAAATATTTTTCGATATTTGCATCAATATATACTGTAAAAATAAATGTCTGTTTTCAAACAGTTCATTCTCGTTTCATTTGTCTTTACAACTATTTGAATTCTTATACTAATCAAAACGATGATTCGTATTTTCTCGATAAAAAGCCTCGATACACTAAATACTTAGGTATCCGCGTTCTTAATAAAGGCACAGATGACTTTGTATGACTTTTCGAAATTTTCTGTATTAAAATAACAGGAACATGACAAAATGGCGGCTATCATCCCAAAATGGCGGCGAACAACACGACGGCCGACGCGAACATCGATTGGCGGGAAACCGTCGCGCCACTAAAGTCCCGCGCGTCAGGAGAACAGGTTTTGCAAGTGCACCGCCCGTTCAAACAATAACCGGGTTCGTCTTCCTCAGAAACGCATTCCTGTTTAATAAAAAAATATAATTGAATGTTTAATAAAGAAATGAGTTTTTAGTTGAATTCTTTGTTTTTTTCGTTTTGGAACTTCAAACTTTCGCATGCTATTCGCGCTATTATAGAAAACGAATTAGCAAAAATGTTATTTATGTAAATTATGTGATCAGACCTAAATAAATCTTCTCGATTTAATATAAATCACATTATTTTATAAATACTTTTTTATTAACTACTGTTTAGTAGAATTTCAACTCAGCCTAAGACGAATGTATCGAGGTGCGTAAACACAAAAAAAATTGATAAAAGAAAACAATCGTTTTCTGATTGAAATTAGAACAGCATTATTGTGCGGCTCAAGATATTGTAATGAATATAATCATATGTTCGACTAAAACAATCGGTGTGAGACTTATTGTTTTTTTTTTATTGCTTAGATGTGTGGACGAGCTCACAGCCCTCCTGGTGTTAAGTGGTTACTGATATTCAGAACTGCTGAAAACACGTTTGTACGCACACTCCGATCACTACATGATTTAGTCGTGATGAAATCATTGCAAGCTAACAAGCAAAATATAAAACATTAACTTTGATATTATGCTTCATTTTCCTTTTTATTTAATGCAAATACGAAAGTAAAGTTGTTTGTTTGTCTACGTAAAGATCTTTTGCGCAAAACGGTAAGTTTTTTATAGTATTTTTTTTTTCTTTATTGCTTTGATGGGTGGACGAGCTCACAGCCCACCTGATGTTAATTAAGTGGTTACTGGAACCCATAGACATCTACAACGTAAATGCGCCACCCACCTTGAGATATAAGCTCTAAGGTCTCAGTATAGTTACAACGGCTGCCCCACCCTTCAAACCGAAACGCATTGCTGCTCCACGGCAGAAATAGGCAGGGTGGTGGTACCTACCCGCGCGGACTCACAAGAGGTCCTACCACCGGTTTCGTCTGTCCTCACCTCATCTCTCCTGCAGTCTTGTCCCGGGCGTCTCCTGTGCCAGCACCGCGGCGGGTTCCCGACCGGACGTGCGTTGTAAGAGCACGAGCAGGTCCCGCCGAGGCACAGGGCTGCCCCGGGCGACGGCACGCCGGGAACGCCGGCCAACGAGTCGCACTGTATGTCGAATTCGCACGGTTCGTTCAGTGCTTTGACGGCTGGAATGAATTATTGTAACCATTAGTGAGTCCGCACGGGTAGGTACCACCACCCTGCCGATTGCTGCCGTGAAGAAGTAACGCGTTTCGGTTTGAAGGGTATGGGCTCCAGTAACCACTTATCACCGGGTAGACTGTGAGCTCGTACATCCATATTCGTCCATATATGCAAAAAAAAACCAAAAAAAAAACAAAGAGTCTAACAAAAACATTAAATCTTAAATAATAATTAAATAGCTAATCTTACTAAGTACAGTTGTTCTAGTTTGTAGAATATCACACAATTTTTTGTGTGACATTTTGTGACTCCGCAATCTATAGAGCAGGTATTTTGTCTCTCATTTAATGTTTAACTGTATTACATTGCGAGCTATGCCAAAATACAATTGTACAATAATTTTATAAGAATAATTCGTGATTTTTTTTCCGTTTTATCATATCAGAAAATCTTGGATACCTCCTCGTACGTATTCACCATACGAGCTATACTCTTATATATATATCTCTGCCATAACATTCTTGGAAACTTGTTTCTTACTCGAATAGTTCTATGGAACAAATTCATAGTTACCGTGACTTGTACTTGTCGAGTTCACTTTTATAATTAGATATCTACCCACCTAGTTAGTATGGTTAGTACTGTTTCGCAGCAGAAATAGATAGGGTTGATAGTACTTACCTGTGTGGGCTCACAAGATACCACTAGTAAAATCACTCAAAAACGCATCTCCTCATAATGGATTACTCCCTTTCAATCCACTGAGTTTCTTGCCGGATGTTCTGAGTGGGTCACGATTCAGATCCAATTGCAGATTCAGCGAAACACTGCTCTTTCTAGGGCAGATATTAGTAAGTTCTGTCAAGCTGAGTCTCGTGAGTTCGCCCGCCAGTCAGGGCGACGTAAGAATAGACCCTCGAGCTAAAACCCACTCCATGCCTGCCTTCTATGAAAATCTTCCATTGGTCTACTCACATTCAACGCAAGAGTTGGTGTGGTTGTTGGCCACCCAATTATCCCTGCATCTGCAAGTACCCCTGCACTCCAAACCAGGTCCGGCGCATTGCAACTGATCCTCGCATTCTTCGCCAAGAGCTGCGTCTCTAACGCATCTGGATTAATATGAAAAATTTTAACAACAAATTATTTTTGAAGTCGCATTGCTCTGTTTGTAATCCACTCAAAGCACTAGTCACTAGGTCTGGATAGATAAGACAATTGCCGATCCGGTATTTAGCACAAAGACATAGACAACACCCGAACTGAACCTTCAGACCGGAACACAGGATGGCTTCGTAACAGAAATAAGCTGGATGGTGTATTTTATTCGCACGGAATGATTATATTATTATGTCCTATGAAGATATGACCTAGTGGTAAAGATCGAAGAAGAATGGTGCAATTATTATTTGAGTTTTGAAATCTTTCAGGCGGGTTCTAACTTCTCAAAGGAAAATATGTATCCGACACTCGATCAACGACTTCCACAACTAATGAACAACATGTAAAAAAAGGAAGCGCTCAATAATTACCATTTTACACTATTCCTGGTTGCAGGGCTTTTTGTGAACTTGTACGGGTAGGTACAACGACCCTGCCTGTCTCTGTCGCGAAGCAGTAATGCGATCCGGTTTGAAGGGGCAGCCGTTGGACTGTAGTAATGAGATTTAGAACTCATGTCTCACGGCATTTAAGTCGTCGATGTCTATGGGCCCAACTTTCTAAGCTATAAAAAATAACTGTACAACACTGTACAACAAAAACCGACCTTGTGAATGAAAGTACGAGAGGAATAAATGCGAGAACTGGTATGATAAAGAGGCTCGGAATGAATGCGTGACCTAGTTTTTAAGCCCCTTATGGGCAGGAGTATCAACTATAATTAAAATTAAAACAAAAAATGTAAATATGAATCTCTGGCTTTGTTGTTTGCTAGAGGTACGAAGAAAAAAAAAACCGACCTTGTTCCATTGTCCCTAGGGCTGAACTGCAATTGACATGTACAGTAACCTCGTACGCAGAATGCTTGTCTTTCGATGCCTTGCTCGCCGAGGTAGCAGTTCTGATCGACCACACATCTTTCACCAATTACTGGAAGAAAATGACGATATTCATGTATAGGTGATTTTAAAAAACGATGTTTAAATTTGTTGTCCATAAGATCGGATGGTTGTGCATTCAATATAATAAACAGGAGTCTTTACGTAATATCGAAAATAGCTGAGAGCGTAACTGGGCAGGGCGTGGGCTAAGCTTGGACTAGTTGTGTCTAAAGACCTGTCAATTATCGGTCCGATGTTATATGAAATTTGTTTGGATGGCCTTCACCGTGTTAGTCGGTTTTGTTGTGAAAAATTTATTCATTTACCATGGAACCTAGCAATCTGGATGAAGCCATACGAAGGCCCCTTTTAATGTTCTTTCTGTATCGTGTAATGAACGCATTTGATGGGCCAAATGAAACCGCGGTACGTCTGTGGCTCACCAGTTAGTCATAGGGTAGGTATTATTTAAAAAGCCTGAACTCACATGCAGTCTCGTAACATCGTTCCCCGTCTAGATGAGCTGTTGGAGCACACGCGCAGCTACCTCCGGTACATTCAGAGTGAACACCCATTGTCATGTGACACTGAATGTTTTGGACACACGCCTCCCCGTTGCGGGCCTCTGCGAAAATCAACGAATGTGCGTTAAAGTTTGGAGGTGTGTCGGTTATTCTTTTTTTTCCTACTTAAGCTGATGGTCTAGAGAGACCATGTCAGCGTCGCCGGGCTAGTAGATGAGCTGATGGGGCTCAAACCTGACGATGTTTCTAACACGAACCCTAGCAAGAGCCGTGCTTCGCAGAATCTACCATTGGATCGGAAGCGCGACCCACTGAGAAGATCCGGTGAGAAACTCAGTGGGCTGTGTCTAAGGGTTAATTTCCTTGCCGAGCCCTTCGTCGCAAGAGACAGGTTCGACGAGAATGATGACCGGTGCTTGGGGTATCTAAAAGCAGTTTTTCTCTCTGCTTGACTCGGAATATTTCTATGGCTTGTTTATGAAATTCAGATTTTTTAGCAGGACGCTGCAGTAAATTTTTGAAGTATGTTGATATCAAGGTGATTGAAAGGATGTGAGATGAAAAAATTTAATGATAATACAAGTGTGCTCACAGCTTAGGGTAATAAAACCAAGTGAGGAACAGGAGTCACGTGTCACAAGCTACCTCGCTAAGTTTTGTGTGATCGTACTATTCATTTTGGTAAAGTTATGAGAGTATTTGCAAATTTTTTTACTGCTTCAGTAGGTACACTAGTGGTGCAGAATGGTTACCGTCGTACATTGACGTCGGCAATGCCAATGGTACAGCCAACATTTAGTTTATGCATGTGTATGAAAGTTTGTTTTGTTTATATCGAGCTAGTGGTTTCAAGAACGTTCTTCTTATCGTATGAAGGTAGTTTAAGAGTTTCGCAATTGGGCAACACTCTTAGCCACTTATGACGTTATGCATCATGATTGGTTGTAAAGATGTAGGATTATTAACTGAATTTAAAATTCGAATTAGTCATGTTTTACAAAGATTTAAAGACGATATCAATTTAATTAATAACTTTTATAAATAAATAATTTGGTAATAAATTGGCTATGTTCGTCAATGAACATTTTAACATGCCCATGGTATAAGCGGATCTTAAAAAACTATTCGAACCAGCCTAAGCCACCAAACGAGACCTAACCTTTAATAACTTAGCTTAAATTAAGCCACACGTGTAAGACGTACCTTTGAGGCATCCTTTGTTAGTGCTGTTGATAGCTGCATACACGTACCCTTCCTTGCAGACGCAGTAACTGTTCAGTCTGCAGAAAGCGTTATCCGGACAGTCCATGTCGACGTTGCAAACGTTACCGGTCCGTCCTGAAACAAGGTTTCCATTTTGAACAAAACGACCCACGCTTTGGCTTTGATACGCCGATATTTTATCGCTAGGATTCTTGCAGGCTGTTTGCTGTAGGTGCACCAGAAATAAATTTACTAAACGAATACGATCTACATGAAGACCGGGACACGGGAAAACCGAAGCTATTATAGCGTCAATTTTATAGTTAGTAATTTTCACTGAAGTATACTTTAAAGGTCTATGTTATCAGAGCTTTAAGAGGTCGTTGTAAGGAGACTGTCAAAACTTTCAATTTATAAATATAGTCGCGTTGATTTTAATTTAAATTAAATATTTACAGGTAGACGAAAATGATCATGGAGAGAAAAGAGGCTTGTTCTATTAAAATCGTTTATGAAAGAAAAGTTGTCATTGAAATAATATCGTGTAATAAAAGTCAACCCGCAAAATTATTATTTGCGTAAGTACTGGTGGTAGGACATATTGTGAGTCCGCGCGGGTGGGTACCACCACCCTGCCTATTTCGGCTGTGAAGCAGTAATGCGTTTCGGCTTGAAGAGTGAGTCAGCCGTTGTAACTATACTGAGACCTTAGAACTTATATCTCAAGGTGGGTGGCGCATTTACAAAACATTTACAAAAAACATTTAAACAATCAGAAACCAAACCTTCAAATGGCCCTTATAATTATTCGGTTTTCAGGAAACATAAGGTAACAACCGGCGACGCCTTAATTAAGCTATAAGGAAATTGTAAAAGTAATTACAGCATGTACTCAGTTAGACCGAATAGATCTCTATTGAATTAGGGATGAGAAAAAAATTCGAACTACTTTTACGATTTAATCTCGGATTTTTTATTGTTATTATAATATTATTTCCGACTTTTAGTATACTTTGCAGTTTTCGTGGTCTCTGTCTAGGTCATGAGGTCTAGTTTAGACATGTTCTTGTATTATGAATATTACATATTTCTCGTCCGAGTAGAACGATCAATAATCGTGTCCTTCAACCAGGCCGACTCCCCAAATGCATTGTCACGTCTAGAACAATCTTTATCATTTAAGATGGCTTAACCAATTTTTAAAAAAGAGGCGGCATTCGATTCCTCCATATAATAAATCGGATTGTGGGAGTAATATTTGTGTTTGTATTATTAATACGACAGTTAACAATTCTGTGGAAATTATAGAAAGATAAAAAAAAAGCGCCAAAGTGAGTAATGAAATGCACAGATAATGTAAAATTATTCATAAACGTCAAACGTGATTTTTCGTTTCGTTTCACGCTATGCAGATCTTGAACAATGAGTACAAATTCAGTACTTTGGTCTTTTATACACCAATTGGGAAATTTATTTTTCAAATTGGCCCAATTTAGAAAATACAGCAAAATCAGTTGCATAAGCTTGAAATAAAAATAATTGAGATAGAATCATCGAAGTAAATTTAATTGCATATTCCGTATTTTTAGCGACTTCTCCTTATGTGTTTTCCAACTGAATATAATACATAATTAATTATAATATTAGTGTTAGCACTTAGATATCACTAAGTAAAAATACATAATTATGCATTCCATGAAAATGTAAATAGAAATGAGCTAACCGAAAAACTTTCAATTAAAAATATTCCCTAGTACAAAAATAACATCTCGCTTTCAGGACTAGCCTAATTAATTTAAAATTAGTTGAGTGACAACCTTAATGGCCGCGTACCCTTCGTCACGTTGACGATTGACGACGAATGAAAACGGAACAACTCATTAATATAAGGTAAAGCATCTTAAAAAGCGTATCAAAAATGATTACGTTCATTTTTAATAGCTAAAATAAATGCGCTTGTTTGAAGAGCGGGATAGAAGATAACTTCTTCTTCATATAAATGAGAGCGCTTGAAATTTCAACCTAATGTCCCAAGATTAAAGGTTACAATCGTAGTGTCGGATCAATCTAGTACGTGGCAAACAGTGTGCTTAGTGCGAGTTTTTTAACGTTCTCGATAGCGTAAAAGTTAACTCAAATTTGTATGGAGTTAGAACGTTTGCCCACGTTTGCCGCTAGAGGCGCTGTTACAACTGCATACAAATTTGAATTAACTTTTACGCTATGGAGAACGTTAAAAAACTCACATTACGCCAGGCCGAAAGTGAATTCATGCACGCTTGTAGAAAACCAGACAAAGAACTGGATTAAATTACAATTTAACAATAGACAGTGACTTGACTTGGTGTTCCTGAAATTGCTGATGTCCATGGGATACGGTGACCACTTAAAATCGTGGGGGTTGTACGCCCGTCTGCCACAGGATGTACACAATTAAAAGTGAATCAACTTTTTTTTCGAGATTTATTTACCAGTCTCCCTAAATTTTGTTTTAGCATCTAATAATTAACCTAATTAATTATCCTATTAAATAATTAACGCTTGATTATCGTCAAAAATAACTAAAGACAACGTAACATACAACTAACTTAATTATAAAATTGCTGACAATATCAACATTACTGATAAGTACAACGCTTGTAAAATAATGAGACTAAATTTACAGTGCTTTGCTATCGCTATATATGTCCAAAGCTATACTATATTTGATTTATATCATGGAATATAAATTTAGTACTATAGTATATTATTATATATGTATAGTATAGTATATAATAATATGTTTAAATATATACAAACAAGACTAATTATACAGTGCATTTCTATTGCTATATTTGTGCGATACTGTACTGCATATTATTGATGTCACAAAATACACGATAATATCGATTCCAGCCATTTTGGAGCTCTAATATTTCGTCGTTTTCTGAAGTATCTTTCTTATATGAAGGAGAGAATAAACTTCCCGATATTTGAGGACCATTGAGGATCTTTTGTGTCACTCCCTAGCCTCTTCGAACACCGCTGGCCTTCACAAAAGCATTATAGAACATAGTAACAGAATATATGTAGATATCTTGGCGTCTGGATACCTGGGCGTCTAGGACAGCCTACTCTTCATCTTCCTCGATCTGTGCACTTGGAAAGCGTGAATTCCACCTCAAAGTAGGGAAGGCGAATCTCTCAAAAAAAGATCGATCTTAAAATCGATTTGAATCGAAATACGAAAATCGATTTATAGAGAAATCGAAGTCTAAAAAAACGATTTCTTTAAAATCGATTCAACTTATGATATAAGTTTTGATTTATGACATTTAGGATGTAAGTATAATTACAGTAAGTAAGCATAAAATACCCTGAAATAATCAATCTATAATGTCTACATGGGCATAGTAAGCCATAAAATATAGTCTCGATAGCCTAAGCAATGGCTCCTTAAAATAAAATAACCGAATTTCGATTTTCAATAGTGAAGTATCGATGCACCAGATCTATTCACTACAAAATATCGATTTTAAAAATCGATTATTTAGTCAAAATAATTGATTTTTCGATTAATCGATCTCAGATCTACATCCCTACCTCAAAGCAAAATTTCAAGACTTTAATAAACAAGGTTTCCGCATGACTATTACTGCTCTGCCAAGAGTAACCGATCATGATGATGATAATGATGTGACGTCTGTGAACTTCGGTAACAGCTTAACACCACATGGGACGTGAGCTCGTCTACCCATTAAGAGTAATGAAGATTCTAAAATGTTATTATTTAACAAACATGAACATAATTGGGTTGTTTTTTTTCGCTACTTATCGCGCTGTGGTGTGTTCCCAGCCTATATTTATACAAACATAGGTATTGTAAGTCACGTTACGACACTTGTGTGCGAAGGCCATGAGATTCATGGTCGACTTGACACTGGCTTGACGGAGTGTGTTTTGTATGTAGTTGATGTTAGTTAATATTCATTGACGCGAATATATTGTAGTCGAAAGAATCCTTGAGACGTTTTATAATGCATTCTCGTTCCTATAAACACTGAGTTTCTCAGTGGGTCGCGATTCCGATTTGATGGTAGACTCTGCGAAGCATTGCTCTTGCTAAGTTGAGCTTAGTGTTAGCTTACGATTAGGTAATTATGATAGAACATACGACTGTATTGTTGGAATTCACATTATATCAGTAATTATCGGCAGGAGAAGAGGAACTTTCATTATAAAATAAAATAAGAATATAATCTCGACTCTATAAGTCGTCGTGGCCTAAAGGATAATACGTCCGTTGCATTCGTATCTAGCGATGCACCGGTGTTCGAATCCCGCAGGCGGGTACCAATTTTTCTAATGAAGTACGTACTCAACAAATGTTCACGATTGACTACTACGGTGAAGGAATAACATCGTGTAATAAAAACCAAACCCGCAAAATTATAATTTGCGTAATCACTGGTGGTAGGACCTCTTGTGAGTCCGCACGGGTAGGTACCACCACCCCGCCTATTTCCGCCGTGAAGCAGTAATGCGTTTCGGTTCGAAGGGTGGGGCAGCCGTTGTAACTATACTGAGACCTTAGAACTTATATCTCGAGGTGGGTGGCGCATTTACGTTGTAGATGTCTATGGGCTCCAGTAACCACTTAACACCAGGTGGGCTGTGAGCTCGTCCATCCATCTAAGCAATAATATATATATGTCGCATCCGGGTCAATAGTTCGGAATATCAACGATACACAAACGTCAAAGTGACAGAATGGCCGTGTCGTGGTTGACGACTTTTAGTAATATTAAGACGGTGGTTTTGATTATTATTTTAAATGATGAAATGTTGTTTTGATAAATATCACAAAATGAAGGGTAGACTCCGTAACGCCACAGTTATAAAATGGCGGTACGTGGACAGAGTCGTGGCATTCCGTGTCAGACAGTCATTCAGTCCGTATCGGACGGTCGGTCCGTCTCAGTCAGTCAGTCGGTCTGTCGGTATGTGCAACGAAACTGTCGGCTTTATCCTGTCATTGTGAAAGTTGTGTGTGTTGAGTTTCAATAATTATTATTGAAAAGTTCTATTGACTAAACTGAGTTCAATCGAATACGAGTGATGACGGAAACTACCGCTCAGCCATCCCTGACGCGTGC